CAGTTCACTGTAATTTCTTTGCATTCCCTTTCCTCTCTACCATTATGTCTATTTGTCTGAGATGTAGCAGCTGGAACTGCTGAACTGATAGGACCTAGCTTAAAAAATAGTATATCATCCTTTCTCATGAATCGCGTGATTTATCATGTGATAGAGTTACTCTGTGGATGTATCATTTCTTAAGTATATTGTGATTTAGTGTATGTGTGAGATCAATTCATCGTCTTTTGTCTCATCTTGATCTTTGTCAGATGACTAACCAATCAGAGTAGATATTTCCACCCAATTAGAACAATCCTTTCACATAGTTGTGAGCCGACAGTCACATGCCAGTCTTTGTCTTTTGATATTTGTGTGGCTTAGTGAATCGGAAGGTACAACGGACATATAGGGAAGTATTAGCGTATTAATCAGTCGAGTTTATTACCGTTATAGTAATTAACAGGCGCAGACATAACAAAGTAGCAACGGATTTATTCAGTTCAGTTCAGTTATAACATGAACCTTTTGTACGAAGTTTCCCAATCAAAAGAATTCACTCAATCTTTTCTATGTGAAGAATAAATCACACATTCGATAGAAAGCAAACTGACTTGAACACTTGTGGTAGGTAGCGTATCCTTTAATACTAAAGCACATTTTCTATGCATAATTGCAAAGACTTTCAGAACAGTTGAGATTAAATCATTTATTGACTTAACACGGCAATTCTGTGGTGTGTACTACTTAAAAGAGTTATCAGTAGTATATATAAGAAGAGATGTTCATCGGCATATATACTTCAAATAACAGGAAGATAGAGTTCATGTCGGAGAAAGCAAATGATACAGCGTTTTTATTATTATGATTTCCTTTAATTCCTACAGGAACATAGGGCTTCAGCTAAGCGTCTCCATCACCTTCGGTTTTCTGCCAACTTTTTCACACCGCTCCAAGTCTGCCCACATGCTTTCATCTCCTCTTCACATCACCTCCTCCAAGTCACCCTCACACTGAATACCAACTCGCCGCTTCCCTTTCGGGTTCCACTAGAGTGATGACTTGTCTAGTGATGTCACTTGATGGTTTCCTCAGAGTATGGCCAATACACCTGCATTTCTTCCTACCTATTTGCTGCACAATCGGTTCCTGCTGTGTTGGTTCGCTCCCAGAGATCCTTTCCTGTTTCTGATCTTTTCTGGCTGGCCATCTGATCTTAAGTAATGAGCGCAGACGACTGTTAATGAAGGTTTGAAGTTTGTTTGAGATGCTCTTTATGACGGGGCAAGTTTCTGATCAATCCGTATAGTAGCACTGACTGACTTCACACTGGAGTTGAAAATCCGGATCGTATTTTCATTTTCATGTTGAGCGCTCTTCATCTCCACACAGACTTGAGAGTAACGAAAGCTTGTCTGGCTTTTCCGAATCTGCCCTTGATATCTTCGTCAGTTCCGTCCGCCTTTAGTTGAAACGATTCTTACAAGGTGGGTTCGCAGGTGTAGGCGATTGTTTCTTTCAGGTTCCTCCCATTTATGGCTAGCTGATTGTTATCTGTTGCTATTGGTGTTGGCCAGGTATCTTCATCACCTCTGTTTTCGCTATGTTAACCTGAAATCCTATATCTCTGATGACACAGCATTGAGGAGACACATTGGAGACGTGAAATACACACAAACAATATGAAGGAAGGTGAGAATTAGTATAGTGATGTGATACAGACAATGTGTGCCGACGGAATGTTATTCTCAAATGTTTTCCCACAGTTCAATCCGGCATTAACAACAGAATACGATATATCCATTTAAACATGCTATTTGATGTTAGAATCAGAAGACATTTCTCACAATTGTATACTGTATTAACAAAAGAATACTATGTATATTTGGCATGCGATTCGCTCCCGCCAAATGCAAGATGATGTTACAGGACTGGACTACATCGACGCCTAGTTTAAAAATAGGAAGTGAAGTGGTAGATCACGTTGGCCGCTTCACTTATTTAGGAAGTACCATCAGCTAGCCTCAACGGGTTGATCTCTGACGAAATCTCAGCACGAATACAGGGGACTCGTTTCGCATTTGCCAGTTTACGCCGACTCTGGCGTAGACGAGATGTTCGACTATCGACCAAAGGGCGGGTGTACTGCTCATCAGTCCGCTCCATCCTCCTTCACGACTGGTTGTGAGTGAGACCTGGCCGATGAGAGTAGAGAATATGAAGAGCCTGGCTGGCTAGCTGTCTTTGATCATAGGTGTGTCTTCTGTCTCCCGTGTTAGGTGGTGTAATAAGGTGTGTTGTGAACTTTTCTTATAATACGTATCTAATCATATTCATATCTCTACCGCTATTAACACTCTTTTTCCCTTTATACGTTTAAGCTATTCCGGCTTCATTGTAAAATGAATAAAGCCTAAATTCTTGGTTCATTCGTCTTTTCAAGATTCAAGCATCACTCATCGTTCTAAGACTCAGTCTCCTTCGCAACATTGAAGTTGGGCGTCGAGTTCTAGGTAAACAGGGGAAATCAATCGACGAAGTCGTGAAATTACAAAGACTGAGATGGTTAGGACATGTGTTACGTATACCTAGTCATCGCCTTCCTCAACAACGGGCAATGTTAGCTGATATAGAGTCAGGCTGGAAAAAAGCTAGCGGCGGTTAAACAAACACATGAATTCACCAGTCAATGAAATCCACAACAGTTAGTTCAAGCTACGTAGGAAGGTGTAGACTTCCTGACTGGTTAAGGTCCTCGGGACGGTAAAAACCAATGGTTGGAAACAATTGGTGATATGGCTCAAAGTCATGATCAGTGGCTGGGGAAGATGCATCCACTCCTTGTGACTTATGGTTTCCAGTGAAACTGTTTTGTTCTTCGTTATTACTCCTTTGTCTCACACCTCTGCTCACTGTCTCTATTATGCTTTTCTTGTACTTTCCTCTCTTGCTTCGCGTGCTACACGGAGTGTGACGACTTGAACTTCCGCACATTTGTGCAAAGTTCTATGTCGAAAACAGACAGACAGACTATGTATATTATATTTGAACCTTTTTATTTCATGTTGTTTAATGTGAACTGAAATCACACGCTCAGTGATGATTGGTTAACGAATATGCATATACTTTAGCTTGCCTTCTTTTGTTACAATATCACAATATAGCAGCCATGCCACCAAATTGTATGTAAACATTCTATAAGGAAGTCTCTCGTCTTCTACTGTTACGAAAATATCAAAACAGTCGACTATTTTCTTTTTCGTTTAACAACTCTTTTCAGTACAAATTTCAGAAGAATAAATTTGGACGTAAGACCATATCATGTAGACTCATATGTATTTATTCATGTATTGACAGCTGAAGAGGTCCACCACCACACCCTCGAAAGAATGGAATATCCCCTAGCTAAAAGTGATCTCAACACCTCAACCTGCCTGGAAGTGCATGAGTCATTTATTTAAATACAGCTTTCCAAGTGATCGATAAACTGTAAACACCATGACGTAAAAACACCCGTTGTTAAACCACTGAAAACTTAACACCACTGTACAGCTGTTCCCTCCTAGTTTGAGATCTATCAGCAGTACACACTGATGACCCTACCAGTAGCAACGGATCCCAACCAAATAACTGAATAGTCAAGAAGGTCATTTGGATACCTGAAGGTACTCTAGGTGCTGCTTGACTCTCAATGATTCCCTAACCAATGTTGACTCATTAAAAAAAATTAATAGTTAGTTTTTAAAGGGATCCGATTTCATCCAAGTTTGCTCATCAGCTGACATTAGTTAGAGAACTATTAGAAAACTAGAGATTACTGGACAACTGTTTCGTCCTAGTTAGGGACACTTCAGTCACGACCACTGGTTATGCCTCGAACCTAAAACCCGAAGACTACAAGGCAACTTCGTAGACACTTCAGCCCCACTGGGACCCAACTTCTACTACTAATTCGTGATTTTGGCGCGTGATGGGTTTCTATAACAAAAAAAGGCACAATCTAACTATTGATCTCCCGCTAACCGACACCAAGTGGATAAATACTGTGAAGTTGTGGCCAATGTCAAGGTAAAGTGGATGCTCACTAACCACATTTGTTGACAGTAGTAGTGGATCAGTGAATTCCAGCTCAAGCACCTGATAAGTCAACGAGGCCCTAAGTTTGATAATTCGTGAGGTCATGACTGTACGCTGTTGAATAGACCGAAACTCCGGCGAAACACCTATCTACCTCTCTAGAGCTTCCTACTTTTCAATGGTTTTCTCTAACTGATGTTGAATTTCGACACACATAAAGAGGTGTATACTACCTAACTGGTTAAGTTCTCCGGGATCCAACAAAGTAATCGCTGAAGCCAATTGGTGATACGGTTGGAGCATATGCATTCACACTGTCTGCAATGATCTGTGATATCCAATAAACCTCTGTTGTTCTTTCATACATTTGCCATTCTTTTTCCCTAACTCGCATTTGTTTGTTATCTCTCTTTTGAATGTCTGTTTACTCTCTTCGCTTGCTTTGTATGGTAGACGGAGGGAGTGTGACAAGTTGAACTGTTGCACATCTATGCAAAACTCTCTATGTCGAAACCAGTCGGTCAAACTTTACGGGTAGAATTATTCAGTGTGCCCAACCAAACCGACAGACTAGACACCTTAGGCGATCAATCAATATATGATATTAAAATCTTACAGGAATTCAATCGTAAGCCTGATTATTTAAGTCACAACACGTCGGACCATTGCTGATGTGTAACTTGAATCTCCGAAAGGATACAAAAGTTGCCTTTTCGTTTGAGACTTTTAACCTATACACAAACACGAGTGATTATTGAACCGAAGAGCCACAGATTACGAATCTAACAGCCTCAATGTATGTATACCACACCAATTCCACCCCCACCCCCGGCAAATCCATGCCGGCTAGCCAACAATAAATGCTGTTGTTGTATAGGCTTGCGCCCATACACTACTCAACCTGAAAAATGTCTGAAACCGAAACACATAAAATGAAGCAATACTTTTGATAAGAAAATTGAAAATTCGTGTATTACATTCTTAGTGAGCTGACATTAATATTTGTAATAATAATAATAAGAAGAATCATTACTAGTAGGAATAATAATAATAATAATTTCGTAACAGGGAAAAAAGATTTCTCTTCAAATATATATATATAAACTTGTGCAATAAACGTTTCTTTTTATTCCACAAAAAGCGAAATTAAAAAAACAAGAACAACACTGACAGCAACAGCAACAAAAACAACAAAGACATCAACGTCGACGCCAACACAACGAAACGAAACGATTTCAAATATTGTGACTTACACACACTTATCAGAGGGAGAGAGAGAGAGGGGGAGAGAGCGAGAATACATACAATAATAATAATACCAATAATACCAATCTATAGATCCAGTCATCATCATACAATACTACTTATTGACTCACGGAGGCGTACACACTCAAACAGAGACAGACACAGTCAATCTGTGAGGTCTGACTGCACGCACACCTATACACCCCGGTACCTTACGCGCACCAGAATGGTGCGGCTGACGACAACATAACAACAGGTGGAATGAATGAAATACAAAAAAAAGAAATGGCGGAAGCAGTGGAGCGGAGAGCAAGAAAAAGATAGAAGGAAAGAAATACAAACGATTAAACATAAACTGTGAGTAGGAGAGTGAATGGGTGAGTGAATAGTAGTAGCGGGTATGGAACGCTTATAGGTATGGCCCAGTATAATATCTGTCAGTCAAATGTATGCATGTGTGTATAGAGAATGCCAGGACATTCGTAGACAAATGGACAAAGCGTGATGATTGACTGACTGACTGGTTAGTTGGTTGCTTGAGTGAGAGGTCGTCATCACAGGAGGACCGAAAGGAGGGTGGGAGGCGGCAAAGAAGGTAAACTAACTATCAAACAACAAATAAACCAAGTTCAACTATTAATTCTGATGATACAAAAATGAGAAATATATGACATGCGTGTGACATATACACATGAGAAGAAAAAATAATAGTTAATAATTCACAGATAGATAATAAACGGAGAAAAAAACATTTTTGTGCTGGACACACAAGATTTCTATCAGTCATAGAAATGTGGTGGTGGTGGTGGTATTGTAGTTATTACTTACTTACCCTACCTACTTACTTACTATCCACATATCATCATTAATAAATAATCACCAGCTCTCAAACAAACAGTTTATCATCATCGTATTCACTGCATATCACAGACCTATCTCTCTAACTACTAAACAAAGTGTGATTAACCAACTGACTAACTGACCAACTAACAAACCGACCAAGAAGACATGAAATAGTTGATCCTTTGATTCAGCCGACCACCATGATAAATACCAACACCAGATGTAGTAGTAGTAGTAGTAGTAGTAGGGTGCCCCCGACGGTGGGGCGCCACGCAGCTCAGCACATGGAAGATAATGTGAATAGAGAAAAAAGAGGAAGGCATTGTGACAGGGGTATTGTTTGTATGTGTATTGGTGTGTATAGATACATCCTGGTGGAGGGGATTGCTTTTAAAAACACTTTCCCTGGGGTGGGGGAGGGCGATAATTTATACAAAAATGGAATAATAATAATAATAGTAATGGCAAAGAAAGAGAATATGGTAAAAAAACAAATTTTTGTCCAACTATCAACTCAGTACTACTGCTCACTGGTGAATAGAATAATATGTCAGCGCGACTCTACTCTACACACTTGTTGTCATCATCAACACTGTACGAATCATTGACAACACATAGGCAGTAAGAGGGTGTGTGTGTGTGTGTGTAGAAAGGGATATACAGTTTATTCCGAAGGCACATACATACAACATGCACACATATGTGTATGAGTAGTACCATTACTCACCGACCCTCCTCCATCCATCGACCCCCAACCAAAAACACCTTTATCCACACCAACACAAACTACTACACTCATGGGAACAATCATACATATGTGTATATATTCCGCGAAAAAACTGAATGTGTGTCCTGGAGAAAATGCAATTAGGTAAGCAGAATCAAAGAATACTACTAAATACTACTACTAATAATAATAGTGATAATAGTAATAATGAGAAATAAATTGTTATATTTGTAGATTAAACAAGTAGCAAGAATTGATTGCTGGCATGTTGTCTTCGCAAATGCGACAAAAACAAGAAAGTATACACACCCACACCCACACATACTGATGCTTCAGTGTGATCAGGGGGAGACGAAAGTACTATGAGCAAAATAGTGTACGGTCTTTTAGACATGCATATATGTGTGTACAGACACACATGTCGAGGAGGAGAGAAAAAAAGACCAATGTGGAAATGATGAAAAATCCCAACAAAATAAGCAGATATATAAACAGGCGAACAAGAGTACAAGAGAGAGAGAGAGTGGCAGACACATGGGAGAATGAAAGCGGGGGGGAGGGTTAGAAGTTGGCAATCGTTGAGTGTGTACACGCGTGTCAACGACATGACGATACGTGCGCACGCACACACACACATGTAAACAAATTAGAAAATTACTGTTTCGACTTTTTACAAGATTTTGAATATAACCATAATGATGATGATGGAGGGAGTGAACGTTTCCGTGGAACAACAACAACACCACCACCTGATCGATGATGATGATGATGATCATATTGTATTGATGCTGACGTTGATGGAACTGTAGATAAATGTTGATTGCCTGAGGGAAGAGATGTGGTGATGATAGTAGACGTGGTGGGAGTAGACGAAGACGAAGACGATGACAACGACGCAAGAGATTGATCATTATGATTTCTGGTTGAATAAATACTTTCTTGACAATTTTGTTTAACTGGACGACGACAAACACTATCATCATCAGCATTATCATCAACAACAACGTCGTCGTCATCAGGAATAGGAGGTAAATTTGCCTTCCTCTTAAAACGTGATGGTATTAAGGCTACTGGAATATAATATGCAGGCGGTTTAACCACTCCTGATACTCTTTCTTCTTGTGATAATAATAACCGTTGCCATGGGAGTTTATGACTCTTATTATTATCATCATCAGAACCAGAATTATCCTTTGTTCTTGACGTCGAGGCGATAAAGGCGTTGTGAGTAGTGGGAAGTTTCTCCTTCAAAACATACTTCATTGTATTAGGATCATTCGATGGATGTGTTACCAATAACATTTTATTTGTATAAGGCCAATTAATGTATGATTTACGCTTATGCGGAGTAAAATGACTTAGATCCTTATCTCTAGGCGGAGGAGGAGGTGGAGGAGGATGAGGATGAAGAGGACATGCGTTGTCGTCTTGACTGTTGCCAGCCTCCTCTTCATTTACAGACGATGTTGGTGTTGGAGTTGTTGGTGATGGTGGTGGCGGTGGTGTTACTGTCGATAATGACAATGAGGAATGTACATTTCTACACTGAACATGCAAATGTATACCATGTCGTTGAAATTTACACACTGATAATGATGCAATTGCTTGATATTCTGATAATAATTCATATAATTGATCCGATTTAGGCGATCGACGTGATTCACCACTATATCCAAGTAAAGAACAGCATACTTCATGTACCCATGGGATATCTGTAACAAAATCCCAATCGTCACCTAGACAAAAAAAGGGTAAAAAAAAATGTAAAACAAAAAGAGACTTTCATTAGTGTTATAGTTATATTTATTTATTTATTTTAAACGCAGAAAAAAACTTGGTACAATATGGCACCAAGAAAGATGCACCACACTAAAGTTCATTTGTAGGGTGAGGTCTGAGATACTGCCCAGGCGCCCAGACCGAAGCAGGTGGTTTTATTAAGGGACCAAACACCCTCCTCGAGCCTTTGACTTGGAGTCTAATCCGATATGATTATGAGCAATAAATTGTGTTCGAAACGTCATCAGTAAACATTACTGTATAACACTGTGAGACTTTATCAAAACAAAAATTTACCCATAATGGAATTATACTCTACCACAGTGCACAAGTTTTATTCTTATATCAATGATACTTATGGTCTTCCTACTAGGAAGCTTATCAACAAACTCATACGATCTAATCCGCAAGGTAGCGGAGCAGCGTCAAGAGCTGCATTCCCATCGTTGCCGGTGACCCCGTATGGGTTCATACGTTATTTGATCCCACTGGATTCTGGAGCCCATGTACCCCATAGTAACTGCTTTTATTTTTAGTCTAACCGTTATCCAAACAACCTTCCTAACATGGTAGGACCTGCAGGGACATGAGTCCCAGTCAGTTTAGCTTGTTAGGTCACTGCGCTTAATCAAGCCCGACCACCACGACAAGATAGCAGTTGTCGGCCTGGTTTGTTAGTGTTAGACCATACAACAGACCACCTTACTACAGCTACGGTAGTAACTGCACACACACACACAGTGTGTTCAAAAATATTTTGAGACGAAAAATGAAGATTCGATGAAAACTGCATAGACCAGACTGTGTTTAGCTTTCTGATATAGATAGTTAGTGATACAAAAGTTGGTAATGGTTCCCAGTTATAAAGAGATTTTTTCACGCCTTTGCGTCGTCCCCAGCGGACAAACATACGGCGCGCTTCAGGCTTTAAAGTTGCTTTGAAGTTGTTGTACTCCTTTTTTACGAGATGGGATTCCTAAAGCCACGACGCGCAGCCTCCTCACTTTTCCGGCCATACATACTACTTACTGGTTAGGGTGTGGTGAGAGTACGACGAAATTAAAAGCAGAGAAGAAAGAGGAAGGCAAGAATGTAATGCAGAAGCAGCGGAGTGATGTCGCGAGGTCTCAGATGAAAGAAAAGACTCAGTGCATTACCTTTGCAGTCGGGGACCGTGTGTAGTGTAGAGACAGAAGATATACAGTTGGACGCGGGCCAGGTTCACGGAGACTCCTTCCAAAGTGGGAAGAACCGTACACAATCACAAAAAGACGGGGTCAAGTATATACCATCCGAAGAGGTGACAAACAGAAACGAGTTAACGCCAGTCAGCTCCAACGACGGGTACAGTGGGACAAGCCGGTCAGTAACAACCATCAACTACAGGATGTATCACCCAGAAGGTCGGAACGCCTGCACGCAAAGCTATTTGACGGAGGGACGAGTGTAGTGAGAGCAGGCTGCTAGCCAACTGGTAGACATTAATCTACGTCAATGTCTAGGTCACTAATATTGGCCAAGAGAATATATGAACAAGGCAAATATGATTCGCAGATGGATGGCTCCATTTTCCGAGGTTACCAGAAACAACCAATCAGAAGACTGCGTTTGTCTACTTGAAAAAGCTATAATAATGTACATGATTTCCGTAATAAAAACAATCTGTTGCCACCCCCTTATCTTCTGTTGTTACAAAGGGAGGTTTAAGAGTATATCACAGCTGGGAATGAAACCCAGACGACGTGTTTGCTTTGTGTGAGCACTCCCTCTACCACTGAAGAAGGTCTGAACCATCCGAACACAGTATTCCACAGTGACGTCGGTGGCACAGTGATTAGGACTCTCGCCGACCATGCACATGGCCCAAGGTTCGATCACCCGCCGACGCCCACCTGATATCTGTGGTCGGCCTGCAAAATATGGGCTACCGATATCACATACTGAAAATTCCATACTTGTACCAAAAATAAGGTGTGGAATCAAGCTGTAATCAAAAATACAATAAAAAATTAAGAGGTTACACGTTAAATGGAAAACCAATTAGGATTGATCGAGATAATCGAAACGTTAACTGTTGTCTATGCGTCAATTGATATCTGGGGAGCACTATGAGTTGACTAGGCTCGGACGCATAACATTTACACAGTTCAAATCAATATTGCACACACACACACACACATACACAACTCAACAGAATAAATTAAACGCCTGCATAGATAAAAAAACATCCAGAAGTATTACCTAGTGTATGAATTCCAAAAGAAGAGGCTAAACGTAATAGTATGACACTGACACGTGAACAGTCCTATTTCTGATGCATAATATGCTGCTGGAGGCAGGGATGAAGATGCGTCCAAGGGGCAGGATTGGAAAAGCACGACAAACAATCATTACTCTAAAAAACCTACTACACTAAACATAAAGAACAAGATCCAAATATCCAACACCTTAATTTTAAGACGGATCAGGGACATGGCTAGTCATAAAGAGCATCTCAAACAAACTTCAAACCTTCATTAACAGTTGTCTTCGCTCAATACTCAAGATCACATGGCCGACCAGGAAAGATCAGAAACAGGAAAGGATCTCTGGGAGCGAACCAACACAGCAGGAACCGATTGTGCAGCAAATAGGTAGGAAGAAATGGAGATGGATTGGCTGGCCATACTCTGAGGAAACCATCAAGTGACATCACTAGACAAGCCATCGCTCAAGTGGAACCCGAAAGGGAACCAGCAAGTTGGTATTCAGTGTGAGGGTGACTTGGAGGAGGTGATGTGAAGAGGAGATGAAAGCATGTGGGCAGACTTGGAGCGGAATGAAAAAGTTGGCAGAAAACCCAACGCGATGGAGACGCTTAACTGAAGCCCTATGTTCCTCTAGGAATTAAAGGATACAATAATAATAATAATATAATAATTTTAAGACCAATGTAGGTCACAGACTTCGCACGTCATCTACGTAGCATTTCGAACAGATTGTAAACTTTCACCAATAGCTGTGTCTGTGCCTTCGCTAGATTAGTGAGGATCAAATGTTGGTACGAAAAAGTATAAACGCGACAAGGCACCTGATAAATAGTGTGTATTGCCCTACAACAAATATACTTTCTTCTCTTGCTTCGCGTGCTACACGGAGTGTGGCGACTTGAACTTCCGCACATTTGTGCAAAGTTCTATGTCGAAAACAGACAGACAGACAGATACAGGAGAAAAAATAGAGAGATGGATCGCACACGCTGAGGAGACCACTACTTGCGAATGACACCAAGCGCCAGACCTTTGGATGGTAACCGAATGAGAAACGGTGATTTCGGAGTCCAACAGGGGTCATGGGGGAGATCATGTGAAGAGGGAATGAAAACTTATGGGTTGTCGTGGAGTCAGCTAGCTCGAAAGAGAGAGAGTAGTATGAATTGGAGATGTGCGCTTATGAAGCCCTAGGTCCCACTAGGCATATAGAGATGAATTTATTGGATGAATTAAACAGACAGACGGTATTCAATAGTAGAATTGTATGTCCAGCAACATACATATATATACACTCCATCGTCAATCAAAATCATTTTTTTATCACAGCATGATTCCACACCGTATTTTCGGTACGAGTATGGAATTTTCAGTATGTGATATCGGTAGCCCGTATTTTGCAGGCCGACCACAGATATCAGGTGGGCGTCGGCGGGGGATCGAACCTTGGGCCATGTGCATAGTCGGCGAGAGTCCTAACCACTGTGCCATCGACGCATGAAGGAGCAAGGAACAGCAGTTTCATCCTCGTTCGGAACTCTCGAGCAGTGCATAACGACGACTCTAACAAAGATCCAACACCCATTCATTCAAACCAATTTAAAAGTCAATCAAAATGACCAATAACGTAAAAATTGAAAGTTTGACCAAAGGATGGATGTTCTACAATTCTGATCAGAAGTCGTGAATAAATGGAGCCGACAATGCCGCGAGTCAACGGAAATTAAACAATAACCCACACATTAGCAGTAGTGTTCATCATGTTACATTATGAATTGACACACAAGTCAGGAATTCACGGATCATTGAATTCTACCTGGTCCAGTGACTGATATATTAATGGGCGGCTCATTGCATAATCTGAAAGTTCCCTCTTTAAGGGACTGTGTGCATACATGGGTACCATACACAGAAGGATCTCCGTCCAGACTAGGACAAACAAAACAATTGTTTAGTCATTCCCCCGGTTTTTATTGATTCTTTCATCAAAGACAGTTTGTAACGAAATGAGAAGTGAAATTAATCATCGAAATATGCACTTCACTCCACTCAACGGAAAAGGATGATATGAAACTAATACAATTTACAAAATAAATTGCATGAGCCGTACCAGGCATTACATCGACCAAAGTGGGCACCCCCTTCAAATCATAATCCAGGAACACAAATCACCTGTGAACAGGCATGATATATATTCCTGTTTCATATCAAAGCATGTAGATAATTACAGACACCAATTTGATGATTGAGATAATGTCGAAATTTTGAAAAACAGAGGAAATACCAAAAATTCAGTCAGGGAGTTTCTAGAAGCCTGGCCTGGTACTCAAGCGAATATGCAATTAACAAACACGTTAACATAGACCAAATCTACCAACTAATAAAAAGTAAATCATGTGAGGAGACAGTTTCAAAATCCAAGTCAATAAAAAGTGATCCATACAAATGTTAAGATGGTTGTCAAGAGACACAACTCCGTCATCATTCATAGGGAATTCAAATGAGTTCATTTTCTGCTAAAACTCTCGGTGAAGATGTTATCCAGAAGGTGGACGACGAGGGGTCCGCAATTAAATCGCCAACCAGCTCAGAGAACGCTACTAATTGTACACTAATACACGAAAAGATGATGGTCGAAAATTCAAATTTTTTTGGGTCTTTTCATTGAATAAAGCACATAAATCTCATGTATGTATATATATATATATATATATATATATATATATATATATATTCGCTTAGAAAATCATACATACCGTATCTACGACGTCTTTGTACAGCATTCTTCAGCACCTCCGTTGGTTTAGGATACACGGGGAACAGATCACGACGGATAGCCATGCTAAAAAAAGAAACATCATTAAGACAAAAAACAAAATTTTTAAAAATGTTTTACACACTGTCAATGAAAGGCGGTAAGTAAATTTCACTTATATATTTGGTATAAACATGTTTTGATCAACGGTGTCCAGTCAATCCATGAGGTTAAGAGTGATTTGCATACACACACGCACTAACATTGGCTGCTAGAAGTTAAGAATTCATGAACTAATGGATCTTGGCTCAGTCGTCGTATTGTCAAGGAGCTCTTCTTGTACCCAAGAAGATCCTAGGTACAATTCGTAGGTGGGGGGAGAACTATTGGTGAGTGCTGATTAGGAGTTCCAAACAAAGACGAAACAGCTATCTAGTGCTCACTCACTTTCTGGTATTTAATAGCTTTCTTTAAGTAAATTCAGTTTGTGGTCAAATATAAAAATATATATTCACAAAAACAATTCTATCATACAACCTTTGGTACACCGTTCATGTTGAACAGTTCAGTGCTAGAGCCAGTGAGTTTGACACATACGCGAGTTGGAATCTCTCAGATGTCATCAGTATGCCTTGTTGACAGGTGTATCAAGAAGTGTAAATATCTAGGTCCAGTTGTTATCGGTTAGCCAGTACAATCACCAAAAGCATGAATCAAAAGTCTACTACTACTGAACAGTTGGTGATTGAATACGGACAAAGTAGTTTTGATAGAATCTCGTCGGCAGCGACAATGAGGACTGGACCACGCGTCCATACTATCGACTTCTGACCCTCTATGAAGCTGATTAATACAATCATCATGCTTAGTTTCTTTATAGAAAACAGCGATATGATTGTGTGATTACCTTCACACATTAACGGCAGCCTTAATAAATAGAACGACTGACAAAATCTATCACATGTTTGTTAACACATTTGCCAAACATCGTCACACATTTTAGACCCCCAGTACTATCTCATCGGTAAATGGCTGAGGAATATGACTGCGAATGATAAACAGTATATATATGAGAGCACCTTTTTGACTATACGCACACACACACATGTATCCTGTAGACTTCTGCTGTTGTTCAAAATAAAGTGGAGACATGTCGTGATTGAAACTCAACTGATAGAAGCTACGACAGAGGAATTTACAGGTCGTATTTGACATCTTATTTGAGACTTCTTAGCTGGATGTGGCTACATCCACCAACCAACACCCACCTACTGAGTGAAACTGTTCCCGGCACAGACCGTTTCAGATATGGAGAAGATTTGTAGCTCAGGTGGATGATTCTGAGTTGGCTGTGTTCTCTGAAACGGATAGTTAATTTGCGAATCTTTCATCACCCAACTAGGCGATATCTTCAGCTCATACTTCAATTTCAAGTGAGCTTTTAGATTACTCCACAAGAAGCCTGGTATTCCAGTCAATCGTCAATCAATAGACACATTGAGATAGACGAAATTTACCAACCGATAAGAAAGAAACCTCACACACAAAGCGTCAAAGTTCAAGTCAAGGAAACAATCAGATCCAATACAAGTGATCAAGAAAGTGTAAAAACCCACAAAAACAACCAATCACGGTGTTTAAGGTCACCGACCAGGAGAGATGAATTATAAACTCGTGGAGAAATCTAAAAGCTCACTTTAATAGGCGCTGAAGATGTCGACGAGTGTTGGGGCGATGAAAGCTTAGCAAATTAACTATCCAGCTTAGAGAACACAATCACATCAAAAATAAATAGTTTCAAATGTAAAAAAAAAGACCCAGTATTTCTTACTGTCCAACAATACACATCAATCGACAGGTGAGCCTGGTGGTGCTGCGCTGTGCCACAGTCCTCACAGAATACTGCTGCTGACAGCCCATGAACTAGAATACGGTTACAATATGACACATTACAGGTGAACTTATTCATGTATGTTCATTGTAGTCGTAGTATCACATACATACACACACATGACAATTTTTGTTTCATTGCCATCTTGTAAATTGTTTGCAAGGAGAGTGTGTGTGTGTGTGTGTGTAATTAACCTGAACTGACAAACTTCAAAAAACAGTGTCTATAAAAATCACACAAGAAGAATATTAGAAGAAAACAAGAAAAAGGTGATGAGAGAACATACTCAGAGAAAGTCATCACGTCTCTAAACAATTGATCAAAAGTTGAATGACATTCTTCCATAGCACGTTCACTTTCATTTATTTTATTATCATGTGAAATAAAAATATGCGCATGTTGACAATAATCCCATAGGGCACGTTCTACACCACTATTATACTGTCCAAATGGTCTAATACAACAACACAAAAAAGAGACAAGAAATACAGGAGAAAATTGTGATTAGAAAAATCTTGATAAACAAAATCAATCAAAATTAACAAAAAAAAGATGTTCGGGTGCGAAGTTAGCGAAGTATCACAGTCACAGTCAAGGTCTTACAAGGTTGACCTTGAAGGTCAAATCGGATTCGCCCGACGCTTCCGAAGGTCATTCCAAGCAGAAACTATGCTTACGTTTATAAACTTGGTTAGCGAATTCCACGGAGATGGAGTATTATTTAATTAATTGGAGTGACTAAGAGTTGTTTGTGGAGACACACATTATGACGCTAAAACAATACAAGCTTGTTGGAGATATATACTGTTATAGATGTAGTTCATGTTATAAGAGGAAATCTGTTCGTGAAGGTAAATGCACTATTTTACGTATTTTCTTAGGTACTTTTTTTCTTAAAGTCTAAGCTGTCTTTGGCGGATATCCCACGTCTTATGTACTGTCGCATTTCACAACGGCCTGTAAGGTCAGTGGCAGCTGATACCTAGTCTCATCCGTGCAATGGTATCAGCACTGTAGAGACATAGCGTCATGGAAGTTGAAAGGGATTACTGACCGTGCTCATTAGGAAGAAGTATAACAAGAGAAGGTTAAATCAAGTGTGGTTACTTGGGATCTATGACACTTTACATAGCAAAGGTTTTCGTTGAAACAAAACGAAATAGAAGTGCCGCAACATTATTTCCAATCACATTTAGCGCTTGATATTGCTAGGAACAACCATACATACTGATGAATGGAAGGGATAACCAACTGTCAATCTTTAGGTTACATCCACCATCGTGTCAACCATTCTTCAGACCTCGTAGATCTCGTCACAGGCATGCAAACTAACTCTATCGAAGGATTCTGAGGGGAGAGTAGATAAAAGAATCAGGAATTTCAAAGGACTATGGATTTGAGTCACATCGATGAATACATATATATTGAGTATGGTATGGTTTCTCTGTTGACCATCCATGGAGGAACTGGGAGACGATTTTTCCAACATATGAGAGAACATTATCCAGTTGAATAACATTTTTCTAACGTTTTAATACAATTTTTTAAAAGAAATTAAAGGGGGTTTTTTGGCACCTGAATCCTGATTGATTGGTTGCTTGTTCAAAGTTACTTTAGTTTGGGCTATGATAGTTTAACTTTGCCGATGTCCAATCCTTGATGAGAATAATTCAACAAAGGTGAATTGATGAGAAATAAGCAGTGGTAGAAGTCAGAATGTGCTTTCTCTTTTCTGTCTTATTCACAAGAGTATACTGACCATATATATATATATATATATATATATATATATATATATACCCAGAGCGGATGATAAACAATAAATACATTCAAATGTTGCCTTGTAGATGACACCAGTGAAATATATACTTAACATGACACGCTATAGGAATGCAGTAAAAAGAGCATTCAATGCCTCTGAATTTCATTTCTTACCTCATAGTCGACGGCCACGAATAAACTACCTAATTTTGCTTTAACTGAATTTGAGATTTCCCCCATCGATTGATTGGACCGAAGTGCTCGGTCTCAGGTTGACATTTCGGCTGAGACCGAGCACTTCGGTCAAATCAATCGATGGGAAAATCTAAAAGTCAATTCAATTAACATGACCCGCTGCACAAAAGGTGGTTCTCGTGGCCCTAAGGATCTAGTAGATAACGCTTTAAGCGTTTGAAACTATGGACACTGGGTTCGAGCCTCGATGGGAACATCGTTATTCACTGGGGAATGCAAGTACATCCACTAGCTGACGAGTCCCAAACAGGATGATGAAATGCGCATCCTGGATTCCACTGCTAGTCAGTCACCAACCACCAATTAAATACCTGATTTTGTCCCCAATATTTGTGTTGTATTTATCAATCCAACAACTTATGCGGAGAGACAGTTACATTGAGTGTACAAGGTGTAGGTATGTTTATCACCCGATTTCAGAACATCATCTTGTGTGATTAAACAAGGGACAGACAAGGTTTAATCGCTGCTTTATTTTTTGGCTTATCTTATATGGATAATGAACAAAAAAATCCTTACTGACAAACCATTCTGAAGTCATCCTCTGCATTTCGACTACTCGCCTAATCTAATCTAACCTTACAGAGCTGAAGTTGTCAGAATCCATCTTAGGAAGCCTAACACTTATGTATGGTTACGAAGAGGAAATTCGTTTCGACATTCTCGTCCCTACTGCCTTGATCACCAATATTTTAACTACCTACCGTTTTACATTTTTTAAATGCTTATTTGCAAACTTATGCATCTTTCTTGAACTGTAATTCCATTGATCTTATAACAACTGAACAACTTGATTATTGGCTTTTGAAAAAGCATATGAGTATTGTCAATAACGCTTTTTTCTTAAATATGATGGTGTATCTAGATACGACTGTAGCTCCAAACAATGAAGTTATCGAAAAGGAATATTCTCTGAGAAAAAAATCCTTCATTTTTGCCTTTCAGAGGCTTAAATAGCAAAATTTTAGCGATAACATTAAAGTAAACGATTCAAAACTCCCTACCTACCTACCGGAGTAGTGAGATCAAGCCCCCCTCCACCCCACTAGGCATTGTATGATTCTAATATATTTCAGAGTGATTTCATAGTACCATTTGTTCGATATTGGACTATCTGTTGCAAACCGGCTGGCCACAAAGCCAGCCAGCATTGAAGCACTTTTAGTGATAGCGGAATACACGTCTTATTCTCTACACGACCGATGGTGATTCCTCAACTAAAAGATGAAGTACCTAGACTAGCCACTTCAAATTCTATCTACCAATTCCACTGCGCCGCTTGTGGAGCCAGTTATATTGGCCGTTACTTGATTTTTCGTGCTCAAGAACATCTCCCACTATGGCTAAGTAAAGGTGTAGTCAAATCCACTGTGAGTCGGTGGCACAGTGGTTAGCACATGGTCAGGAGTTCAATCCCCTGCCGATGCACACCTGATATCTATGGTCGGCCTGCAAAATTTGGGCTACCGATATCACATGCTGAAAATTCCATACCTGTACCAAAAGAATACGGTGTGGAATCAAGCTGAAATTGCCAAAATCATCGAAGCACCGCATGCTTCAAGCAGGCTATTGCAATACGCCTCAAACAACCAGTACTCTGTGTTCAAAAGAAGCAAGTTCAGCCAGCCACTACAACTACTCTGGCTTGCCTTCATTAGAGACTATAAATTCATGAATTTGTAATATTGTCCTTCCTAATTCTTCTGACATTCAGCTTATTTTATGTTGATGCTATTTAGCTGTAATCTATCAATGTGATTATTGATTCGATGTTATTTAAACAGCAACATTAATGTTGTTCATAACACTAATTCATTCATTCACTTCAATGTATATATATAGCTGTAGAGCCTGATGATGAAGTTATCGAAAAGAGTACTCTTTGTTCAGTATCCATTCTATTTTTTGTCATTACCTCACCTCATGTTTCGAATGGAACATAAGTCTTCACGGCTAAAGCTATCAGAGTTTAAGGAAAGACGAAGAGGATTGCTAGTCTCACATTAAAGCTTGCCTCTTTTTTTTTACTAGTAGGCTAAGGCTAAGGGAGAGAGAGAGAGAGAGAAATGGTTTAGGAGTGCATCACCAGTTGGCTGAGAGTCGAACTCGGAGCACTTGTGTGTAGAGTCATGCACACTTACCTATAGGTAATTGACAAATTCTCATTATGCACTGGATATAGTTTAGCAACACTATATAAGAAATTATAGATTGCAAATTTTGGACAATTAATAATACGAATACGTCGAAGTGCTGGCAAAGGATCATCACGTTTCACGGTGGATTCTTTAGGAGCGGCGTCATCAGTTGTCATTGTTGTTGATGATGATGATGATGAAGAGCAGGAGGAGGAGGAGGAGGACTTGGAAGTGGGAGGATAGGTAGCCAAATGGGAGGTGGAGAATTTTTCATTGTTAAATAATATTGCCCTCAATTCTGTACAATTTTCTAATGTGATATTCTTCAAATGAGGTGCTTCACTTAAAATTAAATGTGAAATTCCAACCTAAAATGGAAAAACAAAGGCAAAAAAAGGTTCAATAAGCATCCATTTTTTCGAATACAATAGGTTCAACAGCCGTGAAGATATTGGCCTGACCACTTGACTTTCAGGTATCAATCTCTCTCTCCGCCTAGTTCAGTCTTGGTAACTGGATAGTATCATTAGCCAGCCTTCAAAACAATCTATTCAGCGCCACAAACAATCTTGCATGATTGAGGATGTGTAGACTTAAATCTTTCCCTCTCGAGAAGAACTCATGTGACCATGGTGTTTATAACCACTGTCAAGTGTAAGTTCTGTTCGTTGTATTCAAGCAGCAGGAGGTGTTCCTCAAAAAAATAAAAAGGTGAATACGAACGTCTGAAACATTTTTTACAACCAGACTGGTGAACATACTGGTCTATCTAGGGAAGAAGAAGAAGAAGGAAAGCCCTGATTCCACACCTGCAGTGCATGAACGGGTTGACCGCTGACGAAATCTCAGCACGGATACAGAAGGCTCATTTGGCACTTGCCAAATTACGTCATCTCTCGCAGAGACGAGATGTCTTGCTGACTGTCCATTAAGGGATGTGTGTATTGATCGGCAGAAGTTTACCCTGTCCTCTCGTTTAGGAATGTAACACATAGCCACTGAAAGTGGAGAACATGAAAAGCATGATTAGCCGTCTGAGTTCTACCTCCCATGTTAGGTGGTATAGTAGGGTGAGTAATACTGAGGTGGTTAGGCTTCAATCACGTGTTAGTTAAGGTGGGAAAATCAATCGATGAGGTTATGAAATTATATCGATCGAGATGGTTAAGACATGTGCTACTCATACAATAAGCCATCGATCCCCTTTTCTCGACAGACGGTCAACGTTAGCTGACATAGGATCAATCAACTTTTTTGGAAAAGAGCGAGTGGTGGTCAAACCAACACATGGCTTGATCAGTCAATGAAATCCAATAACAGTTAGTTTAAGCCAGTCACGTAGGAAGGTGTAGACTTTCTGGTGGGGTCCTCAGGACGGTAAGAACCAATGGTTGGAAACAATTGATGATATGGCTCAAAATCGTTCACAATCCATAGCAAGGATGCTTCCACTCCTTGTGACTTATGATTTCCAATGAAACTATATTGTTCTTCCTTCGTTATTACTATTCCTTTTGCCTCACACCTCTGTGTACTGTCTCTATTATGCATTTCTTCTACTTTCTTCTCTTGCTTTGTGTGCTACAATGAAGGAGTGTGGCAACTTGAACTGCCGCACATCGGTGCAAAGTTCCATGTCGAAAACAGACAGATGCGTAAAAGGTGGACAGTTTTTGACCACAGATCTCTGCATACTATCTCCTGTGTTAATTGAAATAATATAATTAGTAATAATGAGATTAAGGTAAGTCAACCGAATGAGGTTGTGAAGTTACATTGATTGAGTGAAATGACTTGGATACCTGTTACTTACGGCACGTCGACGCTTTCCTAATCGATAAATCTTCGGTGATACTATATAGGATTACATCAGAAAGGATTGAGAGGTGGTTCAACCAAAACTTGGTGTATGAATTCTTTGCCTGTTGGTTTGAACCAGTCATACACACAGAGAGAGAGAGATGAAGGCTGTTTAGTGGGGTAGGGGTCATCGAGATGCTAAGAACCTATAGCATGAGATTATTGATGAACAATATGGATGAAGGCATTTATATATGTTGAGACTGAGAGTTAGTCACTACTACTATTCAACTGTCTAGACTGTTAAGTGGGCAGATTGGAACTTGGCTGCTATACCTTTCATCAACTGTCTTATCTGTTTTCTTCTAAACTTGTAACAACAGAAGACAAGGGCCAGGCAACAGATCGTTTTATTACGAAAATCAACGCGTATTTATATATATTTTATGTACATTAATAAGGCTTATGCAAGCAGAAAAAGGCAGTCTTCTAATTGGTTGTTTCTCGGAAGTTAAGCAGACAAACACAGTTTTCTGATTGGTTGTTTTCGATATTTCGCGGAAAGTAGAGCCATTTATCTGCGAGTCATATTTGCCCACGTTTAAGTCTGCTGTGATTGAATCAGCCTAGATTAATGTCTACCAATCAGCGTCGATTAATGTCTACCAATTGGCTAGCAGCCTGTTCTCACCACAAACTAGCAGTCGTATATTTTATAAGGTTGGGGGCTAGCTAGCGAAAAAACCTCCAATCAACATTACTGCAAGTAGTTCCTCTTATTCCGTTTTGTTTAAATCTAGTAAAAAACAAACATGACCTCTAATAGTGTTGTTTAATTCGGCGAATATTTAAAATACTGTTTACAACCACCTTCTGAGATTAGCAAGTTTCTATTAGACATGAGATGAAAAAGTATTATCCTCGATGGATATCAACTTATTGCACAATACATGGAATAACCAACCATTGCTGAATGGTATCCCCTCGTTCACAAAATGTACATTCATGAACTTCTCAAAAGGCAGTCGTGTATTTCCTGAAGGAGAAACAGAAGAGGTACCACATAATGGTGGATTGGTTTGTGCTTTAGGTGAGATGGAACAGTGTCACGCAATCTATTCTATTGTCAATTAATACTCTATTTGATGATGATCGTAAACGAAAAGAAAACATCATGCAATAAAGTCCCCTTAGGAATTTTATACATTACTGAGACTTTGCCAATTATTATTATTTAATTTCTGTAGGAACATAGAGCTTCAGCCGCGCGACTCCATTGCACCCCGGTTCTTTGCTACAGTTTTCACCTAGCTCCAAGTCTGCCCACATGCTTTCATCTCCTCTTCACATCACCTCCTCCAAGTCACCCTCACACGAACAACCAACACGCCGCTCCCCACTTGGGTTCCACTCGAGCAATGGCTTGTCTAGTGATGTTAATTGATGGTTTCTTCAGAGTCTGACCAAGCCAATCCATCTCCATTTCTTCCTGCCTATTTGTTTCACAATCGCTTCCTCCTGGGTTGGTTCACTCTCAGAGATCCCTCATTGTTGCTGATCTTTTCTGGCCGGCCATCTAATCTTGAGTAATGAGCGAAGACAGCTGTTGATGAAAGTATGTAGTTTGTTTGAGGTGCTCATTATGACGCGCCAAGTCTCTGATCTGTATAATAAGTAGCACTGCTTTCACATTCGAGTTGAAAATCCGGATCTTATTTTCATTTTCATGGTGAGTGCTGTTGACCTTCACACAGACTTGAGAGTAATGAAAGCTTGTCTTGCTTTCCCGATGATCCTTGCTTTGATATCCTCGTCAGTTTCGTTCGGCTGTAGTTGAAACGATGCTTCCCGGGTAGGTAAAGGAGTTTGTTTCTTTCAGGTTCCTCCATTTATGCTGATGGTTGTCTGTTAATGATTTTACTGTTAGCCAGGAATCTTCACATCTACCTCTGTTTTTCTCTATGTTCACCTAAAGGAAGTCGTATCTTCTTTGGATGCTTCTTCTTCTGTCAACTTGTTGCTTTTCACTTGCATATCTTCCAGTTTGTGAGAAATCAGACATATATCATCGCGGGCGAAGTCCAGATCCTCTAAGTTTTGCCAACACGCGCATACAACAGAGGAAGTATGAATCACAACTAAGGATTTCTGTCATTCCTTTACCCCAGTTATTGAGGAACTGTGAATCGTTAAACAAAAAAATGCAGCATTAAACTCATTACATCTAAAACTGTGGAAGAAAAAACCCATCACCACCAAAAAAAGAAATACCTACTATTGAATGCCAAAAACAAGCAAATAAATCAATTGAAACTCTCTACCGGGAAAAAAGCGACAGTTTCCTTCTTGTACAGTACACAATTAAGTAGACAATTTTGATATCATAAAATACACTGAATCATCAGACTCTTGAGGATGTCATCAAATTATCCCCCACCAGGTAGATAGATAGATAAGCAGGTAGACAGACAGGCAGGTAGGTAGGCAGACGAACAGATAGACACAAGAGGAGAGGAAAACAAAAACAACCTGTCATCGTTATCAAAGGAATCGATGGGTTTTTTCAGACTTAAAGTATCCCAATGTGTTTGTGTGTGTGTGTGAAGAAGTGATTCACGCATTCATTAGGTCAGTGAATGTGTGACTCATTATCATTACAAGACAATGTTGCATGCTATTTTGTTCCATGTATATACAACACATATAAGGGCTTATTTCTATTATTTACTCTATTCTTTTGCCTTCTGAGTGGAAGAGCATAGGGGATTCAAGTTGGAGCTTTGAAGTTTCACTAGCAATGGTATTGATTTGCGGGATGAGGTTTCTAGTCTCACGGTAGCCTAATTTTTCTCCTTCACATTCCCCAGTGGAACATAGGGCTTCAAACCAGTGGCTTGAAGTTTCTGTAGCAGTGTTCATTTTACAGAATGAGGTTGCTAGCCAGCCTCATGCCCAACCTTTCCTCTTTACCAGCATCATTTCTGGCTCAGCGAGGTAAAGGAGTGGGTCGACCGAGGATTGAACCAAGGACCATGTGCATGGTCCGTGAGCGTTCTAACCACCATAACAAGACGCATAAAAACCTGGGAGTACTGGACAGGTGTTTCGTCCTAGTGTGGGATTCGTCATCAGTAGACACCCACCGGGACTCGAACCCAGGACCTTCTGGCTAAAAGGTGAGCTCGTAGACCACTAAGCCACTGGGACCCACGGTAGCCCAAACTTCCCTCTTTTTTGTCGGGATTATAACCGACACACGCGCCGGCAAGGAATCAAACCCCAGACGATGTGTAGGGTTGGCCAACAAAATAACTGACGGTAACATCTTATTTTGTATTAAGTGTTATTTTAGCTTTATTCAGATCCTCTTTTTTTCACCTACTATCCACTGGCCAGTAAGTAAACAAAATGAGCTTTTGGGAGAGCTCAGCTTGTCAGCCGAGAATTGAAACCCGACTGTCCCACACCATGAACACAATCGATGCACTAATAAACTCATACAAAAGACGAAGTCAGGACTGTTAAGCTCGTATAGAGTTGTGATGGGGAATATTGTGATGACATACCTTTCCAATCTAATCCTATAACAGTCATCATGATTACTCGACAAGGAAGGCGATGGACTCAGAGTATACGTAACACCTATCCTAGGTCATTTCAACAGATGCGACTTCACAACCACTACGCCTGATTTCATCGTACTAGACCACTCGACACAAGAAGTGGAACGCAGGCGACAGTTATGGTCAAAGATGACTAGTCTTTCTTTAGGTCTTCCACTTTCAACCATCATGTTTCACAGCCATCAGATAACAGTCAGTACAGAACGTCACACCACCAGATAACAACCCCCTTTCTAAACACACGTGGACGTGGGGCTTCTCACAGTTATTCGGGATCCAAATTTCACTCTATCTATTCTACTTTAGCCTGAATAACTACTACTATTTCTTTTACAGGTTGGGAGTAGTATCATGAAGTCTAAAATTAAAATATGTAACTCCTTTATAATAAATAGCCCAGTATACACATCAAGAATTGATCTGCCTAGGGTGAATTAAAAAAACAGTCAATAAAAAAACGAAAAAAAAGCATTATCGAAAGAAAGCAAAAACTCACTTTTTCAAAATGCAATGAAGTAAGACAACTATGAACAGCATGAATTGTAAGTATTTGAGGTTTTGGCAGTGAAAAACACCTTAATTCACTAGTATCTATACAAGCATCACGTGCTAACCATTTTGATGGTAATTTACGTTGACTAGGCTCTTTACACGGAGCAGATATCTAGAAAGTAAAAAGAAAGGAAAGCTATGAGTATAAACAACATATATATAAGCACATTTATTACTGCGGTTATTTTTCATCCCTTGGGGTTCCGGGTGGAACACAGAGGGGCTTCAGTAACACACCTACCTCCGTTTCACTCTATTCGCCGCAGTCCTTTTTAAGCTGGCTGCGAAAGTACATCGTCTTCCTCGACTGGCAATGTTAGCTGACACACAGGGTCAGGTTGGAAAAGAGCTAGCGGCGGTCAAACGAAAACATGGCTTCATCAGTCAATGAAATCCACAACAGTGAGTTTAAGCCATTCACGTAGGAAGGTGCAGACTATCTGGTTGGGGTCCTTGAGACGGTAAAAACCAATGGTTGGAAACAATTGGTGATTTGGCCCAAAATCGTTCTCAATGGCTAGTGTAGATGCGTCCATTCCTTGTGACTTATAATTTCCAATAAAACTATACTGTTCTTCGTTATCACTATTCCTTTTGGGTCATATCCCTGTCTATTGACCCTATTTTCATTTCTTCTACTTTCTTATGTTGCTTTGTGTGCTACATGGAAGGAGTGTGGCAACTTGAACTGCTGCATATTGGTGCAAAGTTCTATGTCGAAAACAGACAGACAGACAGACAGACAAACTGGTTTTACAACTGGTCATAAGCTTCACTTCACCCTCAGACTCCAGCCTAACTCATTGTCTGCAATTCGGATTCTCCCACCACAGCCTGGCGACTGACTACAACCAACGATCTTCTCAGTCATCTTACATTTCCATCTGTATACTTGCTGAGCAACAGATTTTTAGTTGGTTCGTTGCAAGAGTTACTTGCTGTCAATGCTTTCTGGAAGGACAACCGGCCGTTAGTTCTATAGTATCGAGTGGAGACGGTTGTTGATGAGGCTCAAGTTGCCTGTTGAGAATTCTATTGCTGACAAGTATCTAAACCATAATGAAGCATTGACTTCATATTAATTTTGAAAATTTGAATTTAGTTCCTTGTGTTCAATGCTGTAATACGGATCCCCATATTGATTTCAAAGCACCGGAGGTCTGTCATGCACTTTTTCCAATCGTCACTTGTAATTGAAACGATGCTGCTCCCACCAGGCAGTTATATATATATATATATATATATATATGTTGAGGCTCCCAGTAGCTGAATGGTATATCAGCTTGCCTTGTAACCGGAAGGTTCTGGGTTTGAACCCCAGTGGGTGCGTACTGACGACGACTCCCAAACCAAGATGAGTGTCGTAGACACAGCGGTAGAATTCTCGCCAAACACGCAAATGGTTCGGGGTTTGCCGACGCACTCCTTTACCTCGTTAAGCCAGTAATAAGACTGCTAAAGACGGAAGGTTGGGCATGAGACTAGCAACTACACATGATAATGGTATGTACATAATGACACAGTAATGACGACCTAATCTCCCAACCATTATCGGCAAAGCTTCACAACTACATACTAAGTCGAAAATAACGTGGATTTCATTCTAAAAGGACGGATGAATACCTGGCGAAGTGTTTTGTATGGCGCGACAAAAGTATTTCTACCAGGCTACTGGAGACTTTCATTAAGACGTTGATACTAAAGATCAGTGCAGCGTTTTGAGCCGCCAAACTTCAATCATCATACAAAGCCAGAGAAGAAAGTAGAAAGAATTGCAAAATAGAGACAGTAGAAAGAGATATGAGGCAAAAAGAAAAGTATTATGGAGGAACAACAGAATTTTACTGGATATTATTGGATATTGGATAAGTCACAAGGTGTGGATGCATCTGCGCCAACCATTGAGAACGCTTTTGAACCAAATCACTGATTGTCTCCAGCCACTATTGCTTTTTACCGTTCCGAGGACCCCAACCAGTTAGTAAGTCTTGACCTCCGTAAGTGGCCGACTGACTTAAACTCACTAGTGTGGATTTCATTGACTGATGAAGCATGTTGGTTTTGGTTTGACTATAACTAGTGGCTCTTTTTCAACCTGAGCCTACGTCAACTAACATTGCCTGTCGGCTAGGCATGCAAGAATAACACACGTCCTAACCATCTCAGTCGATGTAAGTTCACAGCTTCTTCTATTGATTCCCCCTCCCTCCTTACCTAGCATTTAACTGATGCGTAACCTCAGTATTGTTCACCTTATTATACTTCACATGGGAGAGAGAACGCAGACACCTTTCAGTGACCATGTCTCACTCTTAGCCAGCCGTGAAGGAGGATGCAGCAGACTAATGAGCAGTAAATACGCCCTTTGATAGATAGCCAACAGGATATCACGTCTACTAAGCCAGAGACGGCGTAAACGGACAGGCATATGCGAAACTAGTCCTCTGTATGCATGCTGAGATTTCGTCACCGATCAACCCGTTGGATCTGGCTGATGCAAATTCCCAAATATGTGAATTGGTCGACACGCTCCGCCAACCCCTTTACTTCCTATTTCTAAGTAGAAGTCAATGTAGTCCAATCCAGTCCTGTAGCCTCATCATCTTACATTTGGTGGGAGCGAATTTCACGCCAAACATTCGGAGATTGCAGCTCAAGGTGTTCACAAGACTCCGCTGTATTTTTTCAGCGTCTTCATCTAGAAGCACTAAAACATCTGCATATTCTAAGTCAATGACACTAGATAGTATCATCATTAGTCGTGACATACAAAGTATACGGTTCATATCCCAGTACCAGGGAGCTGTATTCTGATAAACTATAAATAATATGTCCAGGTTAAACCCAAAAAGGGTTTCAGTTCATGTCTGATTGCTATGAAACCTTTAAAGTGAAGCGTAACCGCTGGAGAAGTTATCCAGTCCGACAGTGAAACGTACAACGTCCTGACGTCAATCGAACTATACAAATACTTTTTTTAAATCATAATGCCTGAACCTTTGTCTGGATACGTTTGGTCTTAGTGACATTATGACAGTATACTTCATAAATATAACATATGGCAAAAGCTACGGAGATGTCAGCACCATAAATTCGAACTAAGCTGCAGAGTGAGTTTACATTGAGATTATAATCACTACTGTCTGATGAACACATGCACATCACATCAAAAAATAAGCCTGTAAAACTAAACCCAACCTACAGTGAAAACACAGTTACGTCAGAACGTGCTGCCCAATTTGCTAGATACTATTTTAGACCTTTAACAGGCAAATCTTTTTATTCATTGCTTTGAATTCCCAGTGGAATACAACAGGGCGGCTTTAAGCTTTGAGCTCTGAAGTTTTGAATAGTGGCAGGGCACCTCTCTCTTACTAGGTGAGGCAACTGACTAGCCATACACTCAACAACCCTACCTGTGTTAACCAGGTTCACTACCGACTGACTAAGCGAGGTTTAGAAGTCCGACGCCATAGAACCGAATCCGGATGATGATAAGGACGAACCTGTAGGATATTTCGGTCTAAAGCAAACCTATGCCAGAAGAAAGAAAACAATTTATGGATTTTATTCACATGATTACATCTCATAACCGTAAATGAGAAACGAACTTATGATGAGAACAGTAATAACAATAACAATAAATCAATAGCTTAACACATATGCATGTGAGAGTATGTATGACTTACCTGATAATTTATAATACCCTGAGAATAAAGAAGAGGATCAGAAGCACACCCTGAACACTCATTAGAACCCGTGACAGGATGAACAATCTGACCTGATGGAAGACCGAATAACGGAGACATTTTGAAAATTAATTGAGTCCATTCAGAGGCTGTGATCACTTTGCATAACATTTTATGCTGTATTGATGGAGGGTAAGGATGAAATGCATAAATACCACCAAGTTGGATTAGTTGAGGCATCATTCCATTATTATTATTAGTAGTAGTAGAAGTAACAGTAGGTGTACCACCATCAGACGTGGAGGCGGTTGTCTGACTCTCAGTGTTGTTTTGACTTGATGATGATGCTCCAGCTGCTGCTGTCGCCGCTGAACGCAATAATGAATTCCGTCCAGAGCAAGAAGAAGGAGAAGAAGTATCAGGCGTAGAAGTTACACTTTCAGAAGATGATGATGATGAAGCTTTACTATTACAACTACTTCTTCTTGGTGCTTTTGTGTCAACAGTTAATCGAGATTGAAACATTCTTAGCATAACATCCCATTCTAGCATACCACATATACATGTCTGTGTAGACTGAGATATAAAATCGGGTGGTGATGAATTATCCTCCATCATCTCTGGGCTTGCTTCTGTATTATTCGAAACTGGGATATGTACAGTGTCTGAAAATAGAGTTTTAGCCACACGATTCATTGGTTCTTGCGATGATGATAACATTGACCAACCACACGAACCATCTAGTTCCAATAAACTGTTCAAATAGGTATGCGCTCTAAGTGAACACTAAAAGAAGAAAATTAAAAAATCCTCCATATTAGTTTGTTTACTAGATATATCACACACAGTCAGTGAAACAGTATTAGTATTTACTGGATGACAAAGTTTCGAACAAAATTTATTGGTCATAATTATATCAATTGTAATCACACGACTTTGAAACTTGAGTTTTATAGTTTTCTTTGTTCTCTCCTATTTGTCATAGAATTTTCCAGATGTCAGGGACAGGTGATGAATCATTCCTATTATATGTATTCCCTTTCAGTTGATTCGATAAACAAAGCTTCTGTTATCAATTTCTCCTTCCATCCTGTGACATCAGACCCCATCCTATTGTATGGTTGTGTGTAACTGCATGTAGTGCTATCTATGACTGAACTATTCTCCAGATTTCTTATCTTATTTGGGTCAAACAATCTAGATTTTGCCAAGTTTTTATGTTCAGCTAGTCTGACTGACTGCACCTGTTCTACTAGTTTGACCTATGTATTTGATCTGACAATCATTTCAGGCAGGGTATTAGTTAAACTAAATTGTTTTGTTTTAAAGGCTCCACAGGACTGATCCTTTAGCCGACAAAGCTTGTTTCTAATTGAGTTTGTGGTTGGTTTGAATCCTAGCCACTATTATTACTGCCTACCCTGTTAAGAATTCTGCGTAAGGCTTCCGAGGCTCCTTCTTTGTATAGAATTACTACTGATGATTTAGATTCCTTATTGTTGAGTTGCCATTAATAGTAATATTGTTATCATCATTGTTATTAATCTTATTATTATTGTCGCTATCGCTACTAACACTATTTTGTTTTCATATTACATTATATATTAAAAGATCCTCCATATTATTACATGTTTAAATAAATTATATAATTCTGACATTCTACTATGGGTGGGAAGTGGGATTATGTGCATTTACTGGACTGTCACATAAACTAGAAGGTTTACACAAGCGAAAATCAACAAGTTGGCAGAACAGACGGAGAAGATTGTGCACTTCAAATGAAAATAGGAATAAACAATGTGATGAAGGTTACTGTAGACTTTCATCAACAAATATCTTCGCTCCACACTAACGATTAGATGACCGACCAAAACAAAAGGACTCTGACCACCACCCCCAACTAACTAACTAACTAACTCAGGGTTATCCAATTACAAACTTGGCCTTTAACCTAAAGTTTGATTCACAAGGCAGTGGTGCGGCGCTCCCATGGTTATCAATGACGAAGAATAGTTCATGCGCCATTCGATTCTCTTGGATTCCGGAGCCTATGTACACCAAAGATTAGGAATTAGGATTCTCCAGTTCGTTTCATTCAGACGTTCACGTTCACCCTTTCACATTAGTGAGGAATATCGCTGCTAGTGAACAGGACTTGCCTCGCAGAGGCCGTTAACGCATGAGCATATGAGAGCGTTTCGAGAGGAAGATTGAAGTCTACACAACCTCGGTCATACCAAGTCGTTTATAGGTGCATACATGAATCACTAACAAAACAGATGGGTTGAAAGACGAAAGACAATTTGTTAGGAATCATAAACATATGAAAGCCTCACTGCAGGCTACAGAACACCGCAGGGTCTGACCTTCGCTAACCGCACACACACAGACATACTCAAAGAGGGAAAGTAGAATAGTTGGCTCGCTACTAGTGCGAGGCAGACATCCCACCACTGTTACACTCGAGTTCACTAATTGGCACTACAATTTCGTCCTCATACCCCAGTACAATGTAAACGACTTTTAGTCTAATCGCTAACTAACTAACTAGCTAACCCTTCTGGTGAGGTATAATGTCACCTGTGGTAGAACATTCGTCCCAGTCAGTAGAGTTCTTGTTGGGTCACTTAGATATGCAAGACCGACGACCACGTCACGGTAGCAGCAGCTGTCGGTGGAAGTACCAGCTGAAGATATGCCAACTACACAGTAAGACACGATGATTACATCTCATACATATATCCTTGTATAATATATAAACATATATAGTATTTATAAATAGTACAACTTACAAATAGATCATTAGGTTTTGTCCGCAAAGAATCAGGCATAAAATTCCGTGGTGGATTGATATGAATCACATCGCGTATAGATGATCCTAAACCAATACCTTCAGGGGATAAAGGCGAATAACCAAATTGACGAGCAGCTAGAAGATCTGATAATGCTAGTAAATGACTGAGTTTACGCCAGTCTATTGATTCATTCACAGTAGTAGTAGTAGTAGTGGTACCCACTGAAGAAGTCTGTAAGAAGTCTTTTCTCTCACCATATTGAGCAACGAACATATTTCTCAGAACAATTGTCTCCAAACATGGGAAAGGATGTCCAGTGTTGATAGCACGTTCAAGAGTCTAAAAATTTAAATGAAAAAGACAACAAAGTTAAGTAGATCTCATCATAAATGCTGTGAAAAAAAGAAATGTTTATAGAAGAGAAACAAATTGCACTGTGTAAATCTCGCCCCCCCCTCACACACACACACACACAAACAACCAAGGACCAATGAACGAACAGCTGTCTCATTTTAGTTTGAGACACTTCATCAGCTGTGCGTCTTCCTGTGAGTCAATCAGGAAGGGATCCAACCTAGAACCACCATCAAGGTTACAATGACAGCCTGATGACTACCTACTTCATAGGCCACACCTTGTCATTAGAACTACAGAACACCCACTCTGTAGCTACTAATGAGCTGAAGATTTACATTCGGATATTATTAAGTATTCTAAGGAAAAACGATTAAACACTGAAAACAATGGTTTTTAAATTTTGAAGAGTTCGTTTGTAGACTTGATTTGTTTCAAGTTTATTCACGGGGTGATATCAGTTAGTGAATCATTGAAAACCAGCAATGGAGGAGTGTTGGACAGCTGTTTAGTCCTAGTGATTCGCACTCATCGAAAGTACGCACCCATTCCATTGCCAGGATTTGAACCAAAAACTACCAGTTATAAGACAAGCACGCCGCCTGTAAACCACTCAGCCATTAGGCCCAGACTCAATAATTATAATGACAAGTCGATGAATTCTAACGACTGCCAAATCGTGATTTTATTGTGATTGGCACCAGTCAATGTCATCAGTGGCGAGTATTGGTCCTTATTCCCGACTTGAAAGTGGTGGTAGACTCCACTGGTCACGATTTTTCACCTTCGTCCTGCAATCAGTTACTACTGTTGAAATATCAGGATAAGCATAGATCATTTAGTAGTTGTGACACTGAACAAAAGGTTTATGACAAAACACTTTATTGAGGAAGTTTCGATAACTGGCAGAAGAAATGAAAGCACTGAAGTTAAAAGTTAAAGTGATCCTAACAACAGAGTTAATTGAGGTGACACATTATTCCCATTTGGTAGTGACTAGTAGTGAAATCTAGTTTACGTGCACTTCGTCCTATTCGGGACTCGTCATCTGGATGTACAAGTATTCCCAGTGAGTGATGGACATCCCTATTGAGACTCGAACCCTACACCCATCGTCTCAGACGTCACAGTATCTTCTATGATGCACTTGATACGATAAGTGCAATGTTCCAGTCTCAATGGAAACACTACCAATCACTTGGAATACAGGTGTATCCCATTGACGAGTTCTAAATAGGAAGAAATGTGAATCCTGAATACCACTGCCAGTCATCAGCCAAAATGACTTCAAGTTAATCTCTAGGTATCATCGAGGCGTCCATACTGGGAGTTGATACGTCAAACTTCGGTCTAACCTCAAAATAGAATGAGGTTTTTAAATCGAACGACTTCATCAAAGTCCTTGACAGTCAGCAGAACTAAACTGTCGGTTTATAGTCAAATCCGTCTGTCTGTCTATCTGTCTGTCTGTTTTCGACATAGAACTTTGCACAAATGTGCGGAAGTTCAAGTCGCCTCACTCCGTGTAGCACGCGAAGCAAGAGAAGAAAGTACAAGAAAAGCATAATAGAAACAGTGAGCAGAGGTGTGAGACAAAGGAGTAATAAAGAAGAAAAAAAAACAGTTTCATTGGAGATCATAAGTCACAAGGAGTGGATGCATCTGCGCCACTGAGAACGATTTTGAGCCATGTCACCAATTGTTTCCAACCATAGATTTTTACCGTCCCGAGGACCCCAGCCTGGAAGTCTACACCTTCCTACGTGGCTTAGACCAACTGTTGTGGATTTCATTGACTGATGCCAAGTTTTTGTTTGACCGCCGCTAGCTTTTTTCCAGCCTGACCCTATATCCGCTAACATTGCTCGTCGAGGGAGGCGATGGCTTGGCATACGTAACACATGTCCTAACCATCTCAGTCTTTGTAGCTTCACGACTTCGTCGATTGATTTCCCCTGTTTACCTAGAACTCTACGCCTAACCTCCATGTTGCTCACCTTATTATGCCACTTTACACGGGAAATAGAACGCAGGCACCTATGATCAAAGACAGCTAGTCTTTTCATGTCTTCCACTCTCAGTGGCCAGGTCTCACAACCATAAAGGAGGACGGAGCGGACTGATGAGCAGTACACCCGCCCTTTGGTCGATAGTCGAACATCTCGTCTACGCCAGAGTCGGCGTAAACTAACAAATGCGAAACGAGCCCCTTGTATTCGTGCTGAGATTTCGTCAGAGATCAACCCGTTGGGGCTGATGGTACTTCCCAAATAAGTGAAGCGGTCAACGTGCTCTACCACTTCACTTCCTATTTTTAAACTAGGCGTCGATGTAGTCCAGTCCTGTAACATCATCTTGCATTTGGCGGGAGCGAATCGCATGCCAAACATTCGTAGATTGCGGCTCAAGGTGTTTAGAAGACTCTGCATTTCGTCAGCGTCTTCGCCTAGAAGGACTATATCGTCTGCATATTCCAAGTCAACGAGATTATTCCCCGGTAGCAAGTCAATCCCTGAGTCGCTGAAGTCACCTAGGGTTAAGTCCATTAACACATCTATGATGAAGTTGAATAGAAAAGGAGATAATGGGCATCCTTGACGGACACCACTGGTCGTCATCAGTTCAGATGACAGCTCGCCGTAAGCCCTCACCTGGCTGTATGAGTACGAGTAGAGTGCCTTAATCAGTGCAATATATTTTCTCGGAATTCCCTTTACAGCCAAGCATCTCCAGAGAACTTCCCGATCGACAGAGTCGAATGCTGCCTTTAGGTCAAGAAATATAATGACTGTTGGACGCCGGTAGGAATGCCTATGTTCTAGAATCTGTCGGAGGGTGAAGATATGATCAATACACCCTCTTCCTGGTCTAAAGCCTGCCTGGCTCTCTCGTGTTTGTGCTTCCCGAGCACCACTCAGTCTACGCATGATTATTGAGCCTAAGACTTTAGATACTATATTAGTCAAGCTAATCCCTCTGTGATTATCACAGGAAGACTTGTCTCCCTTCTTGTATATGGGGATAATCAGTGACTTACACCAACCCGATGGGACTTCTTCTGATTCCCAGACGCTGCCTAGTACCTCAGTTAATCCGGACAGTAAGCTGTCTCCACCGTACTTAAATACCTCTGGAGTCATTCCATCAGGTCCCGCTGCTTTGCCTAGTTTCAGATTGGTGACAGCTTTAGTAACCTCAGTTAGTGACGGAGGACCTGTGTCTATATCCCATTCAGGGAGGTGTTGGATGCTCGGAAGGTTGAGCGTGGCTGTGGGCAAATTAAACTGCTCCTCATAATGCTCTTTCCAACGATCCAGTCGTCTATCCTGGGAGCTAATTATAGTGCCATTTTTTTCCGAGATTGTCTCACTGATGATTTGTCTTCTCCCACCCGTTTCCCTGATGAGTCCAAAGAGTTGCCTGGTGTTGCCTATCCTCGAAGCTTTCTCCATCTCTTTGGCTTTTGTCGCCCACCACTGTTCACGGTCCTTGCGGAGACTTTTCGTAAGTTTCCTCTTGTGCAGCTTTCGCTCCTCATTGAATTCGGAGCTCGCCGGAATAAGTCTTCTAGCATCTATCAGTTCGGATGAGGCGGTGGAGATCCAGTGGTTTTTACTCACCTTTGGGTTTACCTTATTCACAGCTTTTACAGCTGTATCTATGGCTGCCTGGATATTTTTCCAAGCTTCTTCAGGGTGAGCACAGCTGTCGAACACAGATATGTGTTTAGCTAGTTCTTCCTCAAATACGGATTTAGTTTCCTGATCGAGCTGGGGACGTGATGGTTTTACCGCCAGCTGTTTCCTACGTCCGTTCAGTCGTAAGCACACCCGAGCGCGGACCAGTGCATGGTCGGTATCTACGCACGTGTTCCAGAAGGAGCGACAATCTCCTACCGACCCACGCCAACGATAGCTTATTGCTATGTGGTCTATTTGTGTCCAGCGTTGGTTTGATGAAGGGGGTCTCCAAGTCAAACAGTGTCTCTCCTTGTGTTTGAAGTTAGTGCTTACAAGAAACAAATGATTATCAGAACAGAACTGTAGGAGACGGTCACCGTTGTCGGTTCGCTGGCACGGAACTCCATAGGTGCCACCGACATCCTTCTCAGATTGACACAATTTCCCTACTTGAGCGTTAAAGTCACCAGCTAGAACGACTATGTCTGAGCGTTTAGCCTTTCTCACCAAACTAGACAGCTTTTGGTAGAACTCATCCTTCGTTTCATCTGAACTGCAGTCAGTGGGGGCGTAGGCGGAGATTACGAAAAGGCATCGGCGAGTAGTGCAGTCCTTCCTCCTTCTTACTGATCCGTTCAGGCGGACAGCACACATTCGGCTATCTACCGGGATCCAGTCAAGCAATGTCTTTTCTGCCCTAGTACTCAAAGCTATCCCTACGCCAGCTAATCCTCGTGAACTAGCTGTGGCATCTCCTGACACCCTCAAGGTGAATTTTGCAGATTCAACCTGTTGGCCAGGTGGGGTTAGGTGAATAACCACACTTGGGTCTTGTATGCGTGTTTCTGAAACACAGCATACATCAATGGCTCGTGATGCTTGTTGTCCTATTTGGCAAAGTGTCCTAACATTAAGAGCTCCTATATGAAATTGGTGGCGCGGCTTTAAGAGGCTGTCGGTGGTGGTTTTTTGGCTTCCATCGTTTTTAGTGGACGCAGAGTGGAGAGGAAGTGGAGAGCTATCAAGTCGAGGAGTTGCATCAGTGGAAGGAAGGCAAGATGATAGAGATGAAGATGAAGACAAAGATGAGTGAGTAATAGAGAGGTTTCGTGCATTTCGGATTGTGAGGGCGATTGTTACTTCCCGGCTGCCCACACCGTGGAAGTTGGTTGCGTGACCGCAGAGCCCAGGGGACAACTGCTTGAGGCCGGTCACACGCGGCCTGTTTTTGTTTGTTCTTTTTGTTTGGTGTGTCTCAGTAGCATATTTATCACTCCTGCCCTGTGACACGGCAGCAGGAAGCGCGGTCGTTGTTAATCCGGGCCACGGCATGAAATTTTGTGATTTTGTATTGGACATGATGTTGGATTGGGTAGCTGCTTTTTGTTTAACCGCTATCCAAACAACCTGCCTGGCATGGTAGAACCTCAAGAGACATAAGTCTCAGCCAGTATAGCTTGAATAGATCATTGCGGTGTTCAAGCCCGACCACCACGTCAAGGTAGCAGCTTTCGGTCGGTCAAATCTACACAGCAAGTTGTCAAAAAAATTTAGCACATACATTTCCGTTTTCATGATTTCATGCAAGTATAATATCTCGCTTAATTCATCAGATCTGCTTTGTTTTTCCCGCATATCGAAGTGACCTAAGTTACACAACTAGAGTATCCAATATATAGTCGCTCAAAAATCTATTTATTATTATTTCCTTTAATTCCTAGAGGAACATGGGGCTTCAGCCGCACGCCTTCATTGCGTTCCATTCTCAGCCAACGTTTTCACTCCGCTTCAAGTCTGCCCACATACTTCCATAGCCGCTTCACATGCCCTCTTCCAAGTTACCCTTGGACGACCAACTCATCACTTCACTTTCGGGTTCCACTCGAGCAATGGCTTGTCTAGTGATATCACTTGATGGTTTCCTCAGAGTATGGCCAGCCAAACCACCTCCATTTCTTCCTCCACATTTGTTGCACAATCAGTTCCTTCTGGGTTGGTTCGTTCATTGCCAGAGATCTCTCCCTATGCTGATCCTTTCTGGCCATCTGACTTGAGTGCTGAGCGAAGACAACTGTTAGTGAAGGTGTGTAATTTGTTTGAGGTGCCCTTTATGACGCGCCAAGTCTCTGGTGCGTATAGTAGCACTGACTACACATTGAAGTTATTGGACAATCGATCGTTCTAATATGTTTGTCTGTCTGTTTTCGACATAGAACTTTGCACCGATGTGTAGCGGCTCAAGTTGCCACACTCTTTCCATGTAGCACACAAAGCAAGAGAAGAAAGTAGAGGAAATGCATCATAGAGACAGAAAACAGAGGTGTGAGACAAAGGAATAGTAATGACGAAGAACAATATAATTTCATTAGAAATTATAAGTCACAAAGAGTGGATGCATCTGCACTAGCCATTGAGAACGATATTGAGCCATATCATCAATTGTTTCCAACCATTGGTTTTTACCGTCCCGAAGACCCCAACCAGGAAGCCAGTCTACACCTTCCTACGTGAATGACTGGCTTAAACTAATTGCTGTGGATTTTATTGACAGAGGAAGCCATGTTTTTATTTGACTACCACTGACCATTTTCCAACTAGACTATATGTCAGCTAACACTGCCCGTCGAGGAAGGCGATGCCTAAGCATGCATGAATAACGCATGTTCTAACCATCTCAGTCAATGTAATTTCACAGCCTCGTTGATTGATTTCCCCTCCTTACCTAGAACTCGACGCCTAACCTCAATATTGCTCACCTTATTATACCACTCACACGGGAGATAGAATGCAGCTCTCTTGAACCATTTCTCAATTCTGTGTGCGTTAATTATGACGCACAAGAACTATAAGAAATGATTTGGGTATTTGTCTGTCTTGTGTGTGCGTGTGTGCATGAGTGACAAGGAACACCCACCTTGGTCAGTCGTAAGCATTGAAGGAAACAGACACACCATTTTGTAAGTATTATAGACAGAGGAGACAAAACATAAGACTTACTTCAACAGATATCCCAGGACAATTTTCCAGGTTTAACGACCGTAAAGGTAGGGAATGTGTCTTAGACGGACTATCCATTCCACAAGACTGTGTAGATTGTTGTTCTGTTGTACTGTTAGTAGCTGTCTGTTGAACAAGTGGATCAACATTATTATTATTGGCACTGGATGAAGGCTGAACTGTTGGTTCAATATGATGAAGTGGTTCTTCACCACAAAAACTAGCTGAAAACCATCTAGCTATATCCTTTAGGTAGGGTGCATTACGTATAGTTATATTGATTAATCGTGGACTAATGAAAAATGCCAGAGCTAAACCCCAGTCAGTTATCGCGCAGATAGGTAACACGTGATCAGCTGATTCCCCAATACCAAGACTCGTCAACTCCGAAACTGTTATACGTGATTGATAAGGATCTAAATAGCCTATAGAATGAAAGAAAAAAAAGTTATGTAATTAGGAGTAGAATATTATCATCTCCAAACTATTTGATCTAAAGTATTAAAAGTTTATTAATAGGTGAATGTATGTTTTTAAACTCAGTTGAAAGAAAAGGGTTACTATGCACACACACACACATACACTGAATCAGACGCTGATGGACAAAATGGGTAGACTGGGTGGATTCGAACCCAGAACCCATCATCTGAAAGTTGAGTGTGAGTGAGTGAATGAGTGAGTGAGATACACAACAAAACTGATCGAAATACTATGGAACCATAGAAACTCAATTCGACTGTTGGATCGATCCACTAGTTTCTTTTTTGTACAGTGTGCAGATAGTTGCATGCGAACTCTACACCTTCGAAAGAAAAGTACCACACTATAATCATCGGAAGTTATGTCTATCCGGGGAAAAGTACACACACACACAGTTGATATCAACATCTTCACTCTGGAGAAGACCCCTTAGGGCAAAAGTAGTGATGAATATTTCCATTAATAGGGCTGAAAATATAAAGTATAAAAGGAAACTATCTGAAGAGTGATGTCACCTACAAGTTTACTGTTGTAGCACCTTACATTTTACTGATTCTTAGAGCTTCGAGAACAAAATACGAGTTTAACAGCATATTTCCATTCCGCTTGGTTTGTTTTTTTTCATCACACTTCCCGTTGGATCCACGACTACCTTCAGGTTTCATTTTCTTTGTATATGTTATTTCCTATGTCAACACCTTTTATCCATGGTCATGTCGTCACTTTTCATTCAGGTCCTACTCGAGGACCTGTCTCGAGATCGATATTGCCTGAAGGTCTCCTTAGAGTAATAGGTTACTGACTCGTCGTCCACTGTCACAGTGCCTTGATGCTTATCCTTCCTTGCAAAGGCAACAGATGATGGAAGTCTGCAGTGCAGGCCATAGGAAATGCTTCAGGGGACACACATACACACACATCAAGTCTCTGAATCCCATACATGCAAGCATAGGAAATTCATATCGGGCTATGACATCATGTCTGAAGAAGTGGTTCGCTGGCCGAACCCTGGATCACTAGACAAAAGATACCAACACTGCTTCACATACCGAGGAAAGGTTTCAGTAGCTTTGGTGGCATCTCATTAGCCCTTAACCTAAGAGATAAGACTCATTTTCACTCACTCTTTTCCACTGTGTCATTAGAATCCATACTACAGAATGATAGAGCTGCCAGTATATTGGCAACTGCAAACATACACATGGAGAAAACGACGTACTGTATGGAATCTGTTGAATGTAAGCTTAATTCCTTCCTTGACCCTTGCATCTGGATAACTTGGTTTCCAAAAGAAACTAACGATAGAAAAAATTCCACCATTCGAAATATGTATAGATTGTAAATTGTAAGTTGTGAATTTGAGCTAATCCAACCAACTTACCTAGTGTTAAACTTTCAAGACGTGGAAATTCTGCACCTGCATGATAAAGACTTTCAAATAATGAATTTTTTGTATGCATCATTTGAAGGGCTACTTGATTTAAAGACTGTTGACCAGCCAATAAAAGTAAGCCAATATCTACTTCTGAAGCATCTCTATTACTTGAAAGTACCAAGCGTTGAAGATTACGAAACCCTCGACCGTTTGATATTGTGTCTTCAATAATACGTCCTATAAGACCTTCTATATATAATAAAATAAATACAAAGAACAATGTTACCCTTTCACATGACAAAGCCTATATAATCAATAAATTAAGTAACAAAATGCAGTTAGCATATTTATTTTTGTGTGCTCTAGCATTGGCAAACACCTTTCAAATATTATTATTATTGTTCCCTTGCGTTCCTACTGGAACATTAGGCTTCAACTGCACGTCTCCACTCGCTTCTGTCTTCCTTCTTCTGTACTTTTCACCAACATCCATGTTAGTTAGTCCATACTCTTTCAACTCCTCTTCACACGATCTCCTCCATGTCACCCACCCTTGGACACGTCCTACTCGCCGCTTCCCTTTCGGACTCTTCCACTCGAGAAATGGCCTGACGCGCGCGCGATGTCGCCCAGCGGCGGCCTACTCAGCAAGCGAGTGTCCAATCCATCTCCACTTTCTCCTGCATATTTGTTGGCTGGCAACTGGTTCTTGTTTTGTTTGTTTCTTCCCATAGTTTGTTCTTGTTGGTGATTCTTTCCGGCCCGGCCATCTGATCTTCAGTATAGAGCCAGCGAGGGTAGTTGTTGATAAAAGTCTGCAACAGGCTGTTGGTGGAAATATTCTTTGTGACCCGCCAAGTTTCTGATCCGTTCCGTATAGAAGAAGTGACTGACTTGACGTTGTTTGTATTGAAAATGCTAGCTGAGTGACGAAGATTTCCAGATTGGTTTCAGGTTGATGAATGTGTTTCTCGCCTGCCTTCCCGATTCTCGCTCGATTTGACATCCTCGTCCGTTCCGACTTCCTGTAGTTGAGACAATGCTCCCTAGATAAGTGAATGAATGGAGTAACCTCTTTGAAATCCCTCCCATTGATGGTGATTGGCGCTGGATGTTGCTGTTGCTGTTCTTGTTGATGTTGTTGCTTGGTAATTTTCATAACCTCCGTCTTGTCTAAAACCTTTCAACTAGATTACCATAATTTCATTTGAAACATTTACATGTCATACAACAGCACTCTATAAGCAGCCAATCGTAGGCCCAAGAAAGTTGGGCGTGGAGACAGTGACCCAATCCAATGACAAAAAGAAAACAAATCCATCGTCGTTAGGGGACTTCATCAAAGCGTCTATGTGTGTGTTAACGGTTCAAATAACACACACACACAATGTGCTTGCCAGCCAGCCACGCGAAAGGTTCACGTTCGATTCCCGGACAATGCACTCCGAAACCTTACACACACCAGCTTACTAGTTGACAGTAAGGAAAGGTTAGGCATAGTTACCGAAACTTTAAAGCTTGCAGTCTTATGGTGCTGCTTGGAACACACAAAGAAAATATTTTAAAAATAATAACTGGAGTCTACAATGACAAATATTGACTGATTTTTACTCTGATTAACTGAACACACTAATCAAAATTAAGCACAGTCTTAACAACTATACAACTACTCTTAGACTACTGACCCAGAAAGACAGACAGATACTGACTGTTACTTATTATCATAGGTAGAGACAAGAAATTCTTTCAAGTTGGAGCACTGCTGCTCAATGTAATCATTAAATTCGTTTCATTAAAGAGTACTCACACAAATTCTCATCAGACTAATTTCACTTCAATCCAAAGATATTTTATTAAACACAGGAGAACGAACTTATTGAAAAAAAATGTGAACTAGTAACACAGATTGACCAACTAATTGAGACGAAGTTTTCAAGTCATCGTCTTAACACAAAAACGCCCCTGTGTAAATGGGATAAATACACAGGAGTTATGCATAGAAAATATTCATGCATAGAGAAAAAAAATAAATAAATAAAACGAGACGTACCGATGAAACGTACACCAACTAATTCAAGTCGTGTAAGCTGAGGTGCTCTAGACAGTGCTGAGAAAATACGAAGAAATCGAACAACTCTTGTCGGTGTACTACAGTTATTCATTACAAAAGATTGAAGTTTTGGCGCCAAAAAACTAAAGAAGGGATCAGCTGAGGAAAATATAACCTGGAGTGATGAATTAAAAGAAAAAATAATAATGTTACGTGAGTAGTTCAATTCAAAAACACAGCATGAAATTATTTCGCTTGTGTCTGTGTGTGTCGCAGGAGATTGAACGAACAATCAGTTGATGAGGCCGAAATAGGATAAGATTTCCGCATCCTTGAATCCACTGCCAGTCACTATCCACCAAACATAATGTGAAGTGTCAGTTACACGCTTTTTTTTAATTTTATAGGAGTGAATATTTCACTGACAATTCAAACAATATTGAACAAATATATAATTCAAAATAGATAGAAGCACAGGAGAGCCTCGTGGGCTTTTGGAGAAGCATGGGCAGTTGTTACTTCCCGGCTGCCCATACCATGGAAGTTAATCTTTTCGGGGGTACTTGAAACAGAAACAGAGTGAGTGCTGCGTGACGGTAGAGCCCAGAGATCAACTGCTTGAGACCGGTCACACACGACCTGTTCGAACTGGTTCTTAGAGCTGTTCCAGTATTAGTAGCTTACTATCAGCTGCAGACTATTGCAGGGTAAGTTATTTATTTTTATTTTATTCCTTTACATTACTAGTGGAACATAGGGCTCCAAGACTGAGGCCTTGAAGTTTCGGTACCAGTGGTATTTGTTTTAACGGAGTGGGATTGCTAGTCTCATGCTCAACCTCCCCTCCTTACTAGTCTTATTACTGGATTAGTGAGGTAAAGGAGTGAGTCGGCCGAGGATCGTACCCCGAATCAAATGCGTGGTTGACTGGCATTCTGCCGATGTGCCACTGGTGCACGTAGGGTAAGTTGGGATGCACAATTTTCGGGGTCGGCCTTTTCTAAATCCCCCCCTCTCCAGAGTTAAGAGATAGCATTGCTGGCACGCTGGCCATTTAAAGGGAACAACCTTACTGCTGTTACACCCCTGTTCCCCAGCAGCACAACATTGCCCAAACTCCCAGCATAGTGTAAAAAAATCTTACACTGGTTTTAGTCTAATCGCTATCCTAACAAACTTTTTGACATGACAGGACCTGCAGGAACATTAGATCCAACCAGTATAGCTTGTTGGGTCACTGCGATATGCAAGCCCGATAACCACGTCAATGTAGCGGCTATTAGTAGGGAGACAGAAGCACAATTCAAGTCTGTGACATCCCCTGGTTGGAAGTTAATTGTCATGACTAACAAACCACATAAACACGATTCATTAAGCTTGTGAAGTAAGTCTAAGAATAAATACCGCTATTACCTAATTCACAAAAAACGTTAATGCTTGATATTTCAAGTAGTGACTTACAACAAAAAAGAGATAAAAGTTTCAACACAGTGGACACGCTGAGGTATGATAAACTATATCATTAAATCTCTTTTGGAAACCTTATACGAATGCGTATAGTTTTTAAAAGATTCTCCAAGGAGAATCAACGGTTTCGTGGAGGTCCACCTTCAAAAGAAAGATGTACATAGCTAGCTTGCCACAGAAAAGCTTAGGCATAACTACCACTGTTACCGTAAACTATATATAGTAATGTTATTGTAATTCATAATGTACACTTTATTGATTTTCAGATATGGCACAATGAATATGCCAAAATCGATTCAGCAAATAAGTTCTAATTTATTCCAGTTATATGTGTTAGTGTTAGAAACCTTTCTAGTTGTTCAAATACCCTGATTAATGCAGCAGGATACAACAAATCAATATCAAACAGAGAATAATTATCTTGATAGTTGACAAACTACTCCAAGATAAAGTATTAACAAAAGCGAATGTCAAAGTCTTGTCACCAACTAGCATCAGTTATGGGACCACCGGAAATCAGGTAGTACTGAGTATATTTTTCCACCTAATTCCGGTCTCTTTAGTAGCGCGCAGTCACGACCTCATCATCAGGAATCACACCCACAACATCACTGGATCCCCAATTCGGAGGCTGAATGAACAACGGACTTGTCTCGTACCTTGAAGGTCTTGGGTGTGTACTGCCTAAAAGTTTCAGACTCGACTGAAACAACTACCCGACTCACGGTTTTCGGTGAAGTAAAATGTGACAATATGGATATCAGAAGACAACTTAAAACCGAATTACAAGCAACAGTAAAACAATTTTCGTTATAGAAAAACAGGATTTAAACATCCACCATTTTCAACTAACAGTATACAGGTAAGTTAATCACCATTAAGCTTAAACAAGAATGATGCTTTTGGTTAAAAATTAATGCTTACCCATTTAAGATGAAGATATTTAATATTATCCAATCGAGGGATACCACTTATAGAGACAGAAACAAGATCCAATTTAGTTAAATTTGTAATAACATGTGGTAAAACAATCCACTGCATTTGGCTGGGTAATGGAGAGACTAACCATGGTCCAGATGCATTTAAGTTTGTATTAGTCCGCTGTCGACGGTGTCTTAATGGTTGTCTTTGCTGATTTCGTCTAAGTGCTAGATCTTGCAACTGTATTTGACGACCAACAATAATTGGATTAACATTTTGTGGGAAGTTGAGTATTCGTTCAAAAGCTAGATGTCGTCCTTGTGCCCCCCTCAATACACCAGCTCCCAATAAAAAACCGTTATATTGCCTGACATCAATCAAACGACAGTGCTGTGCACTATTAGGTGGTAAAACTAACGGTGAAGCTGGTTGTGGGGGGACGAAAATAGCACCAAAAGCAAATGCTAAAACCGGACCAAGAGCATTACGGACAGAATTTCGATTTGATCCTAAAGCATGCAGAGAACAACGTGAATAACCGAAAGGGGCTACAGCAATTAATTCACCTTCAATTGGTGGTAAGCCAGGCTGCATAAAGTGTGAAACAGCCATATTACGCAACGATTCTATTGCGTTTGAATAACAGTCCAGTGCTACTGAAGGCATAGGATTGTTCGATGCATTTTCTTGGGCAACAGGAAGGATGGGACCCCCATTGAAAGCAGTGAACAACCGAGACGGCAGGAAATGAGGTGCTGTGGAAGGTGAACCTTGGCCTAAGGGTAACTCACCAACAGGTTCAAACCAATTAGCGAAATTTGCATGACGTAAAGAGATCTTATGAGCTGAGTGTATAGCCATTTTTGTAAGTGAGTGATGGTTTCCATTTTTACACGGAGGTGACAATGAAAAAGCTGCAGTTGCCAAGTTGAATGATGGTACAGCGCATTCACATCCTGTATGTCCTTTAGATTTTAAACGGGTTGAAGCTTTTCTCCTTCCATAACTACTTTTAATTGCTGAAATTGAAGTTGCCGAACAAAATAAAGTGCTTAGAAAACTTCCATATTGGGGCTTTGAATTTGAGTCAGTATCACGTTGAGTAGTAACATTCGTCGGTGGATCTTGGTCACTGATTTCTTCTATTGCTTCGTTGTTTGGCTCCGGTGGAAGAGGAACGGCATACTCACAGTCCCAAGAATCTGGACGATTCCTGAACATACCATGGAATTTGATGCGAGGATGATGTCGAACTAGCTCACTCATTAGTTCTACATCCATTAATTCCACAGAACGAAGTTTAGGGCAAAGTCGAAACGCTGCGATAACCCCCACATAAGTCAGTGAATTGTATCCAGAACTGATGCTTGAATACTGACCATCAGAAGGATAAGATCCTACTATTTTTCTCGGATAAAAGCCGAGGATATGTGTGACTTCTGGTGTACGACTTAAAATGCGTTTCAAAGTCATATCAGTGATTGACTCCGGCAAAAACGCAAACGGAAGACCATTACTGAAATTAATGCGCTTAACCAGTAGAAGATACTGTTCCATTATTGCTTTGAACCGACGATTAACACGCTGAAGACGAAAAACATCTTGTATACTCAAATAGTGAATTATACGAAACATAACTTCTGTAGGTAACTGGCCAAGTGACTTAGGAGCTGTTTGCAGGGCTTCCCATTGTTGTCGTAAAAATGTCTGGCGTAGGCGGGATCGAAGTGGATAGTTATGACTCTCACTCTCTGGACTTTGAATATTATTTACACAGTGAGGCACAGGACTATCGCAGACACTGTTGTGACGATTACCACAATTTTTATCACAAGTAGTAGACATCTCCGAAGAAGCTGAAGTAAAAATATTAATGATGTAAACGTGATTTGGAATTAAAGTCAAGAAATTATTAATCAATAAAATGTTGGTTTTCTAAAAACATTCCAGCTACGAAATATAAATGTGTGAGCGATTCAAAAACCAAGGCTTTTTAAGCACTGTAAGTGCAACCCCAACATCATTGACGGCGCACATACAGTCTCTTTAAACACTAATGATAAGCAGGAAAAACTTGTGCTCAGTTAATGGATACATTTTTAGTAAAAATACGAATATCTGGCTACTCCAAAATAAGCAAGAGAAATTTATGGAGATAACTACACATGGCCTTAGCTCAAGGAGCCCAGTTAATGCCGGACGACCATTCAGATTCACTAGGGGAAACAAGCTGTAGAAAAAAAATGAAAGGCGGGACGATTTCCGAGAAGAACAGTGCTTCAGTTACTTCTGCGGATCGACGACTGGAACGTTAGACGGAACACTTTGAGGAATAATCCAACTGACCTATGTTCAAACTAAGCTTGCCCAACATCCAACACCTATCTGAATAGGATGTAGACATTGATCCTCCAACTCTATTACAAAAGCTATCTGTAATCTAAAAGGAGACAAGCAATGGGACCTGATGGAATAACCACAAGAATGTTCAAACGAAGGAAGTGATGAACCATTGACTGGGTTAGATAAGGTCATGCGTAGAAATCTGAATTAGTCCCATTCATAAGAACCTCCTGGCTGAACCACGTGTTTTATCTCATTTATGTCTGAATAGAAATTATTCATGAATTAGTCTCATTCGACTGGTTTTCCCAGTTCATGGTGAAAGGTTTCCTTGCTTGACTAACATAATATCTAAAATTCTAGGCCTAATAGCCATGCATAGACCAAGAGTTGCTCATGAGAAACAAATCCGGGAAATTCGGGTAGGCTCAGGGCCAAGACGAGGATGCACTGATGTTTTCACCCTTTGACAGACTCTGGAACAAAGACATACTTACCGGTATCCAACACTTGCCACATTTCTTGGCCTGCAGGCGTTTAACTCCACAGACTGAGGCGCTGTGAAAATATCTGACAATGGGAATATTGCCGACAAAGTATGTTTTAACAAGCATGGTACTCTACTCGAACTTAAGCAGACGTATAACAGCCTAAAGAGAGTTGTCATCTCAAGTGTTGACAATCAGGTGTCCATCAGCGATGGCTATTTTCCTCATTTTTGTTTAATTTTGGCTGTGATCCTGACCGACTTGAGCGACTCAGTAATTTGTTATCAGGGGACAGAATGATCGACTCAGGGTATACAGATGATACTGTCTTTCTAGGTAAAGATGCCGACGAAGTAGTCTTCTGAATACCTTGAGTAGAAATCTTAGTCGCCCCTAACAAATTCAAGATGATGTTGCAGGACTGGTGATCACCAACTCCTAGTTTGAGGAAAGGAGTGGAGCAAGTGCTTAATCTTGAACACTACTTATTTGCGAAGTTCCACCAGCCACAATGAACTAACTGCTGAAGAAATATCGACATCGCGAAACAAGGCCGGCGTGTCGTCTGCCAACTTAAATAGTCTTAAGGTGTAGATGTGATATCCGGTTATCGATAAAACGTCTGTACTGCGCAGTAGTTACCTCTGTGTTTCTTTGTGGATGCGAGACATGGCCAATGAAAGTGGCTAATTGTCTTTAACGGCAGATGTCTGTGTACTCTCTCCCATGTTAAGGGGTATAATATGGTGATTAATATTCACGTTAGGCATAGGAGGGAACCAATCGATGGGAATGCGAAGCCATATCAACTGAGATGCCTTAACAAGACAGGCCGACACCTTCGTCGAGCACTGTTAGCTGACATACGATTGCGTTGCAAAAGAATTAAACATGGTATCAATCCATAAATCTTCTAACTGATAGTTTCAGCAAGCCACATTGGGGATGCGGGTTGTAGACACTGGATGACTAGGGTCCTTGAAAAGCTTAGAATCAACGGCTGGAGACTTTTGATGATACGGCTTAAAATTTTTTTCTTTAACGACACAGATGAATCGACTTCTTCAACTTACAGAACTAACAATTCCTCATTATTCTCCACATCTTGCTTACATTTCCTTTCATTTAAATTCTTTTAAATTTCCTTTTCTACCTGTGCGGGGTGTGGTATGTGACAACTTGAACTGCTGCATTTCTTTGCAAAGTTCTACGCTCAAAGTTTGATCATTTCATTAGTTACATGACTTTAAATGGGCTAGTATGCTCCAGAGCTATTGATAAGCTGTACTAAATATTTCTGTAAACAGAAATGACACTCACTTGAGAATAAAACGTAAAATAATAGATAAAGGACAGCAAAGACTGCGAAGTCAACGTAACTTATAAGGACTAATGAAGAATATATATATATATATAGTTTAGAGAAAAGCTTAACCGTTGCAGCATAAGCACCTGCCTGCAGTCATATTACGAATAAGGACCGGATGACTCTAGAATCAAGTATGGTTGGATGGAAAGACTGGAAACTAAATCTTTGCTAGATCGACACATGCATGTAATAAGTGACCGAAATATCAAGCAGAGCTATTTGAAAACTTTTACACATTAAGTATCCTTAAGAAAGAGAATAAAATATGCAAGCAACATTCAATATTTATGATCATTCTTATACAATAATAAGAGAAATTATTGCTTAGAATGTCATCAACCAAGAAATATCATCCAGTCATCCACTAAAACAATCTGACACAGGAAGTGTTTAGGTGTACTACGTGAATTGAACAAAGTAAATAGAGCCTCGTGAAATGTTTTAAAATGCACTAAATGAATCATATCTTACCAGGGGAAAAGGAAGGGACATTTTCTGAGAATACTTCACATTTTTTTACCAGTTGATGTTGGTTCGACAGAAAGTTGTTGCTGCTGTTACCAGCTGCACTGAATACTGAAGGTGATTCAGACTTTATAACAACACCGTTATGTTGAGATTCCCGTGAGAAATCGGCCAATTTTATAGCTGGATGAAAATCATGTTGTGAAAGTTGATCTGCTGAACTACAAGGAACTGGTTTCACCTCATTCTCATCATAGTTTCGATTAGTGCATCTGTGCGAGCAACAAGAATGACAGGTTGTTAGCACCATTTTATCATTGCTAGAACAAACACGGTAATTATTTGCATTAGTCAAAGCTGACGATTTTCGAAAGCAAGATGCACTTTGACGACAGTCAGCAGTTCCAGGCAACGTTTGGTTAGAAAGAATTTCAAGTGGAGAACTGCACTTAACCAGTGCAACGAAGCAATTTGATGTTGACGATTCCAGGAATTCATTTGGTTTGTTTGTATTAGAGCTTCGTGTTGACAAATTTCCAGGCCTCTCAGAACTGCATTCAGTTAATTTAGGTGATATGGAATCCAAAACAGAGGCTTTGGTTGAATTAGAATATGTACTTTCCTGTGATTCAGACTCAACAAGTTCCAATGGCTGACTGCACGAAGTACCAACCAAGCTAGATTTACCTGTTCTATTTCTACAAGCACTATGATGAATTGAAGAATTCGCCTGACGTATATTTGAGTCGTGACCCTCATTTTCATACTCTCCCTCAGAGCTGCCAGCCTCATCTGTTGCAACCGCACTTGGTGTTAAAACCATCCTCTCACTTTGCATCAAGATCCCGTCCATATTAACATGGGAATCTGAATCTCGCATTGTGCTTGAATGAGAATTCAACAATCTATTCCCAACGGATGAATTTTCGTGATTTAACGATTCATGATCAGTCGTGGATGTAGGTTCAATGGCCAAATTTAATTCTGGTTGGACAAGCTTCTCGGAAAACATGCTTGATGCAAATGAATTCTCATCTTCAGCTGCATCAGGACGATCAACAGGAATATCTTTCTGGTTAACATAATTACTCAAACCAATGTCAGAATTATGAAACAGCATATTTGCTGAATCCAAATAAGGAGAATTTGGTGAAGACGGCAAGGAAGTATGCTGCTCATTACATTGAGATTTACACTGATGCACTGGGCTCATATGCACCTTCTTTGGACGACAAGAGGCTTCGTCTACTGTACTTCCACTGGTGAAACGTGTGCGTCTTTGGCGTGGTCGACTAGACATATCACAGACAGACTTTCTACCGGCACTTATATTATTCTGTGAACTGAATTTAAGTGTGCATGTATGGATTCACTATATTTTTTGTGCACGTATGTTCTGGGAAGCGCCAACAATTTTCACAACTGCAAAAAAAGTATAACGAATGAATAAAAGGCATAGAAAGTAGTCGTTACGTGAAAATGATACTTGACAATGATAATAATAATAATAATTCCAAGGCAGTCTTGTTTGCTTAATATAAAGACTTTAAATTCCTGCGTGGTCTGCATAGTGATTTCTTGGCCGACACCACGTACGAAATTGTGATTAATCAGGAAAACATTTCGTAAACTCTCGCAGATGCATACAAATATGAATGTTTGAAATACGATTATTCCCTGATCGACGTCTAGATTGACGATAAAAGCAGTGGTTATGTTCATGGATAACTACACCAAATCAGGAATCTCCTTTTTGACGAAATGTTAACTTGTCTCCCACGTTATTATAAATCCGAAGCAACACCTGAGCCTTTAACAGGAATTAGCTTGTCTTTCAGGAACCCTAAACTTGACCTCAACCTGCTTTTACACTGGCAGAGTTCGAGAACTCCCGAAGTCAATCACTGATGCACCACTAATTATGAGATGGTTAGACAACCTTCACTCAGTCGATCACTATCTTTTCCGTCCACATACTTTTTAATAGTGAGTACATTGTGAACTGATATTATGAAGACCTTCACAACGTTTATTTAACTGAGTATATCTCGAGAAGAAGAAAGGCCTGTGTCCTTACATCGTAGCCTTAAGACCTGATGTAAGCTAAGAGGAATTCGAGAGACTAGTGAATATAACTTTCCTCAAACATATCCTACTACTTTACATATAACTAGTCACATCACCAAAACTTGGCTTTTGTGAGTCAAAATCGCATTTCCATATCGTTTATTGTCTTTAATACTATATCCTTACGGGAAAAAAACCTTATACTTAACCCATTTACTTGTCACGTCAGATCCTTCCAGTGAGTGACCAGAATTGATTTTATAGTATTCATGTCATCCATTAATGATATTGGCCGAATATCCACCTTATCTTTGATTTTACGCTCCCCTGCATAATTCTGGAAGGTTTTGAAGCTTTGAGAAAGTTCGCCTGAGTCAGAAGTTTTTTTCTCCATTACAGTTACACGTGTCAAGAAAACATTGGGAGGCGAGACGGAAAGATTTAAATACAAACGCAAAAGTGCCTAACTTACTATGTACAGTTACCAGAATTAATAAGTAAGAACAACATATAGCACCACCACTTCTCGGCTCATTGTGCCATCTTGTGGGACAATGGCAACTATTTGAAAAGCGAGTCGTGCCAGTATTTAAACTAAAACAATCACATTATATCACTCTTTGGCGAATAGTGAAATATATTATTAACCTAAAACTTTACACTAATCATGAATTAGTTGGCTTATATGCATCTTTCTCTTTTCTGTGTTAGTTCCTCATCATAGTCCACTCAAAGTTTGTAACGACACTTGGTTCTTCTCGAAGTTCATTTTAACGGTTCGATTTTCACCACTGTGAACGGCAAGTCAGTAATGCTACGAAAATTCTTCCGGCCGCAAACATATTGAAATACAACCTTTGAATGAATCGAAATGTGATGAATCTACTTATTCCTTATGAGATAATGAGTCATCGGTTGTACAGTGGTTAGGACTCTCGCCGACCATGCACATGGTCCGAGGTTCGATCTCCTACCGACGCACACCTGATATCTATGGTCGGCCTGAGAAATTTGGGCTACCGATATCCATGCTGAAAATTCCACACTTGTACCAAAAATACAGTGTGGAATCAAGCTGTAATCAAAAAAATATATAAAAATAAAATGATAACTGTTCATTCCTTGCAGTTCGTATGTAAAATTGGGATTCACTGGCACACCTCCATTCCATTTGGCTCTCTACCAGGATTCTCAGGGGGGACTAAAGTAACTCGAAGTCTTCAGTTTCTCTTCAAATTTCTGCATGTTTACCTTCCTCACTTGCTTCTCCCAAAGCCAGTATCAGGTCTTTCAGACGCGTGGCAGCACCGACTTAACTGTGCGCCGGTGGCACAGTGGTTAGGACTCTCGCTGACCATGCACATGGTCCGGGGTTTGAGCCCTCGCCGACGCACACTTGATATCTATGGTCGGCCTGCGAAATTTTGGCTACCGATATCCACGCTGAAAACTCCATACTTCTACCAAAAGTACGGTGTGGGGGTCAAGCTGTAATCAAAAATAAAAAAATAAAATAATTAGAACAAGATTTTTTCGTCTCGTTCATTATGTAAAGTGCAGTAGATCTCCATACCGATTTCACGGTAATGCTATACCTGTTTCTAGATAGCTTTTATATCATCAATGCTGCCTGTGGTAGAAACTTTGCCCCTCAGGTCAGGTAAGTGAAAGAGGCAACATTGTTTACGCTTACCCAGACCATGGTGATTAGAGTTTCTTGCTGTTTATTGGACATTTTCATCATCATTGTCTTTATGTTTACCTGAATTACTAATTTCACTGCCTCTTCTGTAAGCACGTCAGTTTTTCACCAGTAAATCCTTACATTTTTGAGCCACGAGACATGATTCATCGAAGAAATTCAGATCTGGATATGATGGAAAGATTTACAACTCAGATGGGCGATTTTGATGTATTTGTGTTCTCTTGGATGGATGGTTTACTTCGAAGCCTTCATTGTCCTACTAGGCAGCATTGCGTAGGAATGATGACCACAGCTCTGCTACCTCCATACTGAGAACCCTAATGTTACCGTGAAAGTACTTGACCTTCCCCTCGCCACATGGTCAGTATACGTTAGTTTTGAATGGCAATTAACAGTGTTGAACCATCTTTCATTCTGCACAATCTTTGTACAGCATCACTCGACTTTCCACTATCGTGACTAATAACTTATTATTATTGTTCCCTTGGGTTCCTAATGGAACATTAGGCTTCAGCAGCACCTCTCCACTTGCTTCTGTATTCCTTCTTCTGTACTTTCCATTTCCATCCACGTTAGTTAGTTCATACTGTTTCAACTCGTCCTCACACGATATCCTCTATATCACCCTTGCACTAACGTCCCACTCCCCGCTTCCCTTTCGGACAGGTCCCACTCGAGAAATGGCCTGACGCGCGTGCAATGTCACCCAGCGGCGGCCTACTCAGCAAGCGAGTGTCCCATCCATCTCCACTTTCCCCTGCATATTTGTTGGTTGGTGATTGGTTCTTGTTTTGTTTGTTTCTTCCGATAGTTTGTTCTTGTTGGTGATTCTTTCCGGCCCGGCCATCTGATCTTCAGTATAGAGCCAGCGAGGGCAGTTGTTGATAAAGGTCTGCAACAGGCTGTTGGTGGAAATATTCTTTGTGACCTGCCCGCCAAGTTTCTCATTCGTTCCGTATAGAAGAAGTGACTAACTTGACGTTGTTTGTATTGAAAATCCGACCGAATTTTGTTGTTGATGCTGTGTGATTGACGAAGATTTCCAGATTGGTTGTTTCAGGTTGTTGAATGTGTTTCTCGCCTGCCTTCCCGATTCTCGCTCGATTTGACATCCTCCTGGTTCGTTCCGATTGGCTGTAGTTGAGACAATGCCCTCTAGATAAGTGAATGAATGAAGTAACCTCTTTCAAATCTCTTTCGTTGGTGGTGATTGGCGCTGGATGTTGCTGTTGCTGTTCTTGTTGATGTTGGTCGGTTATTTTCATAACCTCCATCGTGTCTGTGTTCACCTGGAGTCCTGTCTTCGCCGGCTGCTTCTTAGACCAGTTTGTCGGTCGGTTTTCGCTTGTCAGTCTTCGATTTTGTGTGACATCAAACATAAATCATTCACGCGCGAAATCCAGGTCTTGTAGATTCTTCACGTCGGTCCAGGATATTCCTGTCTTCTCGTTTCCCACTCACTGTCTGATGCATAATCCAGTCAGTTCACCACAATTACGAATATAATTGGTGATAGATAATAAGCACCCTTGTCTCCTTGACTCCTGTGTTTACTCCAAACGCCTTGCTGAGTTTCCCGTTGTGGATCACTCGACATGTGCCATGTTGTCGCACAGCTGTTGAATAAGGTTGACGAATATTTGGGGCACTGTACGCCGTAGTACTCGAGTCATTTCGAAATTACTTCACGATCAAAGCTGTCGAAGGCCTTCTCAAAGTCTATAAAGTTGAGGTAGAGGTTTGATTGCCATTCCATGCTTTGTTCTGTAATTGTGATGCGTAGAGTTGCAATTTGGTCAGGACATGATTTGCCTTTCCTGAATCCAGCTTGTTCCGGTCAGAATTTTGTATCCAGTGAGCCCTTAATTCTCTCCAGGATGATGCGACTCAGGACTTTACTTGGCGTCGACAGGAGCAAGATTCCTCGCCATTTCTCACAGAGTGAGTCCTAAGTCGCCCTTCTTTGGTAGTTTCACGAGGTGGTAATCTTTTCTCCAGTCAGTAGGCACCTTTCCCTCCTTCCAGACCTTTTGCAATAATAGAGTCAGCATGTCAGCTGTAGTCTCTGGCTCCGCTTTCAGTGCTTCAGGGAGTATTCCATCTGGTCCGGCTGCTTTCCAGCTTTCAGAAGCTTGATTGTATTCGAGAATTCAGCTCTCGTTGGAAGATTGGTGTCAACTTGCAGTTATGTGCGCGCTGTTGTTGGTATTTCTGGACGGGTTGCAGGTGATGGTCGGTTCAAGAGTCCTTTGAAGTGATCCGCCCATTGTTTAATATGTTTTTCTTCCTTGGTGATTGGGTTCCCTTGGCTGTCTTTTATAGGTTTCGCTTGTGTTGATCTCTTCCCGGATAGAGATTTGGTTATCTGATATAATGTCCTCTGGTTTCTTTTGCCTGCTCTCTTCTCAGTTTCAGTGGCGAGGTTGTCGTAAAATCGTCTTTTGTCCTTCCTAGCACTCTTTTTCACTTCTTTGTCCAGTGCTGTGTAAGTTGAGCTCAGCGTCTCCTTCTCCTGTCCGTCCTTGCATTGAATCATTTTCTCTTTCACCATTCTCCTCTCTTCTGTTAATTTCCAAGCGTCCGTTGAGAGCCATTCCTTGTCTTGTCTCTTCTTTCTTCCTAGAACCGTTGAACACGTTTCGTTGGGAATCGCCTTCAGAGACTTCTAATGTTCTTCCACGCATGATTCTTCAGTGATGTCGCGTAGTGTTTCCTGCTTTGCTCTGACAGTTGCGGTGAAAGTGTCCTTTGTGATTGTGTCCTTCAGTTTCTGAGTGTTGAACTTGCATTGTGGCCTATCCCCAGCTATCAAAGTGTTCTGCTGAGTAGTTGTTATTCACTAGTGGTGTTTTCCTTAATCGTTTGATTCCATTAATTGCATATTCTTGTTTAATAGTGATTATTCGGCTGGTTAGGTTATATAGACACTCGGATAGACCTACGTTTACCGACTGTGGATGGGATGAATCCAATTCAAAATATTTACGAAAGTGTCAGTTTCATACGAAGGCTATTATGCTACTCAGAGTGTTGTAATCGCTTCCATTCTACGGTATATGTTGCACTATAACCGGCGTCATAATAACGCCATTATAAATATTACAGGGGACAGTATTGACGCCTCAGTTGCCGGGGTCTCACTGCTGCAGAACGTAGCGGACGAGTAAACTTTCGTAGGTTCGGGTCTGTAAGAAACTAATCCACAATCCTGCAAGTACAGTTATTGTCAGAAATAGTCTCAGAGCTAAACATCAAAAAAGGGGGAGAGTGGCGCATGCTGATCAGCAGATATAGTAGTGGTCACTAATGTGAATAGCTCCGATCTGTAGGACGTGCATTTTTCCACAGCTCGAAAATTAAACATTAGTCTGGACCCTCAACCAAAAAATAATAAAGGTTGTACAGATCTAAATTATAAAAAAGTGCTTTTGTGCCTACTATCTAGAAGCCTGTTAAGCTTCTTGTAAAGATGAAACTCCATTGGCCCTACAGAAATTCGTGAGACGTCTTGCAGGTCAGCTTGTCCTACAGGTCCTAATTTTCCAGATCTATGGATTCACTTCTCACTGAAATACCACTTATCCACCTCAGGATAATCTCTTTATTTACGCACTATTACACTTTATTTTATCTTATCTACCTAGACAAAAGCTTAATCTTTGTTCATATTTGTTGCCTGACTATAGTCTGGTTACTCTGATGGAAGGAAACACAACGACAACATCTGTCAATGGACGTGAACATCGGACGTTTGTTTATTGGAACTGGTGGCCAACGGTGGGCAATTAGAAGGCGCGAATGATTTGATCGTGTACAAGTTCGACGAAGACGAACGAAAACGAATAAAAACTTGTATTATTCTTCACTTTAATTGCCAAGAAATATAACCTCCTTCTTACAATACTGGTGTTTCCGAGTTAAGATCGAAGAAAGTACATAGTAGTTATCAGTTTTGAGCGTTTTCGTAGCAATAGGAACTTAGGTTTAAGTTCCTTGACAGATTTCATTCTTCTGTTCGTTTTCTGGAGCGCCTT